CACTGGCGGCCATCCTGGGCTCTCACGGGGCTGTCATGCACGTCTTGGATGCCGTCTTGGCCGTCTTGGAGGCAAGTTTGGGCCATCGTAGAGCCATCTTGAGAGGGCAAACCCTTGCCGACTGGGTATTTCGGGTGGTCGGCGCGATCAGCCGGGTCCCCACTGGGAACTGTTTAGAAGAGCCGAAAACATCAAAAAAGTTTGGCACGCCGTGCACCCCTGTGGCAAGCTACTGGGGGCGGCGCACTAGTGGAAGTCGGCCTATCCAACCACCGTGGGTGGCCGTGGACCAGAGGCTTCTTGAATGCATACAACATGTAGCCAGCGCCCTTTCACCCTGGAGCCCCTTGGGCATAATCATGGTCCCGACCTCCAGTTATCAGTGTTTCGGCTCTAGTAGATGCTTTGTGCTTCCAAAGCCTGTGTATAACATTGGAGCTTCCGTTCTAGAATTCAAGTACTCCCACCCCAGTCTTTGCTTCCACCGCTCGAACGAAGGACGCTGGCCTCGCACAACCCTTGTGTATGGGTTGATATAGAGGCTTTGGTCTTGGAGCACCTCGTTAGGGTTGGTCGGAAGGCATCCTGTGTTTGTTCTGCGTATGCGAAGGATTCTTGGCGTGGCGGTTTCATTCTGAACCGTATGCGCTCCAGTCAGAATTTGCGTGGCATCAGTCGATGTCTAATGCTGAAGTTCATGGCGCCTCGCACTCCAGAGGTACGGTCAGGAGTGCGAGGCGCCACGGCATGTCTGCACGCGCATTCGGCCTGAGCTCGCGATGAGCTGCATGCTCCCTCTCGTCATGCCTCTTGGCCCCAGTTCCTCAAGCCGCAGCTGTTTGGCCTGCCGTTTTTGCACACTGGGGTCCCGCCTGGCCCTCCTCGCGTGGACACTCCTGCGAACAGCAGCAGCAGCAGCAGCAGCAGCAGCAGCAGCCAATGCTTCGAACAATTCGCGCGTATGCGTGTGTGCGTAACCGGGGCACATTTCCTTCCCCCACACGCATGCCGCGTTCCGCTTCGCGCCAGCTGTCCCGAGTATATATCTCGGACACACGGCCGAGGCAGACGTCCCCGCGCCGCGCGCCAGGACTCCTGCGCAGGCCTCGTCACCTTTTGTCATCCCGAGGAATCCAACAGGCATACAAGGGCCTATAAGGGTGCCTTCCAGAGAGGCCCTCGGAGGCCTCCTGGGGGCTTCTTTGGGGCCTGATGTCGGTCTCGGGGCTCTCTTGGGACCGAGGGCTCGAAACGTCAGTTGTAATTCATCAGCGGGGCCTCTCTTGGCACCGTCGTGTGGCGTCTTGGGGCCTCTTGGGCCTTCTTGGGGCCGTCTTGGGCGGTTTGGGGCCATTTCGGGGCCCCTTGGGCTGTGTTGTGTAGATATTGGGGTTCTCTTGGGCCACCCTGGAGCGTCGGGAGACCGAAACGGCGAGAACGCTAAAATCGGTTGGAAACCGTGGGGAAATCAACGCTAGCCAGCGTGGACCCCAAACAATGTGTTTTTAGCGATCTGCGTGGTGAAATGTACGTGATGCAAACCCTGCCGAAATTGAAGCTGTCATTTCCACTGCTCGCGCAAACATCCCACCCAACCGCCCGCAACTTGGTTTGCAAAACCCATGCGGCGGCGATTGCGATGAGTGCTCGGCGCTGGCTGGCGCATCGCCGAGGCCGCGCTACCGCGCATGCTCGCGCGCGAGGCGGCCGGCTAGTTTGGCGCGACCGACGCGGCCGCGGTCGCGCTGATCGTTGGGCGCTTCCCGGCGGGCACTTCAGTGCGAGTCCGCGACTTGAGTGGGCTCGGTGCCATGGCAACTTTCACCACGGTTGACACGGTGATAGTAATAGTTCTGCTGGGGACGATGACGACAACGACGACGGCAAGGCCAGTGACGGCGCCGCTGCTGATCACGCCGCCGACGATGACGGCGTCCCTCCGTCAAGGATGAAGGTTTGGAAGGACTTCGACATGCGCGCGCGGCCGACGCGCGAGAGTGGCCCGCATGGTCCTTTTTGACACGGATCGTGCCCCCCCAACACGCAGGGGCGTTCGAATGATTTCGACATGCGGCGCGAGAGTCTCGTTTGACAGAGTTGACTAAAGGTGTCGAAAAACTCGTGGCTTTTGCCGACTTCGCAGGGGAGCGATCGCAGGCAGCTTTGAAACCTGACGTTGCCAAACCAAGTGGTTTTTCTATGTTTTCAGCACACCCGATTTTGCAGTCCTGCGACACCTAAGGTCTTGAAGGATTTCTGCATGCGCAAGCGACGACGCGCGCGCGTGCAGTGCGTCCCGCCTTCGCAAGGGTTTCTTACGACAGCGCGCGCAAGGGCGTTCGAGCGATTTCGGCACGCGCGCGCGAGGGGCACGTTTGGTAGAGTTGGATGAACACGTTGACAACCTACCTATGGTAAGTTTCCCAGCCTTCTTTGGTTGGGTATTCTTTTTGAAGAGCGCACTGTGGTCCCCACCTCCTCGTCCTCCTCCCGCTTCCCTCCTCGTGTTTCCTCCTGCCCGTTCCTGTCGCTTTGTTCCAACCTTCCTTGGTTGGGCATGCGAAACAATGGGCACTTTCGAGGGCTGTTGGGTGGGCAAGCGCAGCAAAGTCCTACCCAGGTTCAAACTAGACCTCGCCGTCCGTGGGGGCTGCGATCTGCGAAAGCCTTACCCAGCTTTAGATTAAGCTTCGCCATCCGTGGGCGGCTGCGATCTGCGAGCGTGTCGCCACTTTCGAAGGATGCTGCTGCTGGGGGGGGGCACAGCAACGTCCGACCCAGATTTAAATTCGACCTCGCCATCCCTGGTGGGGGTGCGATCTGCGAAACTATCGCCCGTTTCGATGGCTGCTGGGGAAGGCAACGCCCCGACGTTCTATCCTGACGCCAACTAGACTTCGCCATCCATGGGAGGTCGCGATCTGCGAAACTGTCGCTACTCGAGGGTTGCGGGGGGGGGGGGGGCAACATAGCAACGTCCTACCCAGATTCAACATCGACTTCTCCATCTCGGGGGGGTGCTGCGATCTGCGAAATTGTTGCCACGGTCGAAGGCTACTGCGGGTGGCCAGCACAGCGACGTCCTACCCCCATTCAGATCAGACCTTTGCGTCCGGAGGGGGCTGCGATCTGCCCCGCTGTCTCCACTTCCGAGGGCTGCTGGGGCGGGGGGACGGTCACCACCCACCAAACCACCCCAACCCAACCCGAAGGCTTAGATTTACCCTCGATTTCCAGTTGGGGGGGGTCGGGAAACATCGAAAAAACACGTGTGGAGCCCTTACCCCCCCCAACCCGAAATTCGGGTCTTCGGGTTGGGTTGGGGTGGTCTGGTAGGTAGTCAGACGGGGGGTGCAGAACCCCCTCTTCAGATTAGACCTCGCCTTCCCCGCGGGGGGGCGGTCGATCTGCGAAGCCTCCGCCACGTTCGAGGGCTGCTGGGGGCGCCATCGCAGCGACGTCCTGCCCAGATGGAATGCAGACCTCGCCATCACTGGGGGGCTGCGGCCTGCGAAATTGTCACAACTTTCGGGCGCTGCTTGGGGGCGGGCAGCACAGAGGGGTGCCCCATCCAGATTCAAACTAGACCTCGCCATCCCGGGGGGGGGCTGCGATCTGCGGAGCCACCGCCACTTTCGAGACCGCTGGCGGGGGCAGCACAGCGGGGGACACACCCATAGTCAAAGTAGACTTCGCTGTCTCTGGGGGGGTGCGATCTGCGAATCTGTCGCCACTTTCGGGGGCTGCTGGGGGAGCCAGCGCAGTCTGGGGCCCAACCAGAATCAACATAGACCTCTCCACCCCTGGGTTGCCGCGATCTGCGAAACTGCCGCCACTTTCTGGGGCTGCTGTTGGAGCCAGCGCAGTCTGGGGCCGGTCCAGATTCAAATTTGCCCTCGGCGTCCACGGGGGGCTACGATCTGCGACTTTCGAGGGCTGTTGGCGGGGGGGGGCAGCGCAGTGGCGGCCCCAGCCAGATTCAAATTGACTTCGCTGTCCATTGGGGGCTGCGATCTGCGAGCCTGCCGCCACTTTCGAGGGTTGTGGGGGGGCAGCACAGTGGGTGCCCCACCCAGATTCTAATGTAACATCGCCATCCCTGGGCGGCTGCGACCTGCGAAAATGTTGCCACTTCCGAGGGTTGCTGGTGTGCCAGCACAGCAGGGCACCCACCCATATTTGAATTAGACCTCGCCATCCCAGGGGAGCTGCGATCTTTGAAAAAGTCGCCACGTCCGAAGGCTTCTGGGGAGGTGAAGGGGCATGGGTGGTGGAGGGACAGCACAGCGGGAACAATATCCGTTCCCCGGTAATTGGCCCATTCCCCGGTGAATTGGGCCAGTCCCCGGTCATAAGTTTTGAAGATCGTGAACCTTTCCAAACGAGAACCCTTTTTATAACAAAATCGCTACAGGGTTAAGCGCGCGCCCCCGCAGTCTTTGAGGCTTTCCTGAGCAGCTCTCACGGCGCTCCCCTGCAGCTTCTATGGCGCCCTTAGCAGCTTTCAGAACGCTCCGTAGCAGCTTTCAGGCGCTGCTTAGCAGATTTTAAAGCGTTTCGTAGCAGCTTTCAAGGCGATGCCTAGCAGCTTTGTAAGTAGTCCTCCGGCAGCATTCAAGGCGCTCCTTAGCAGCTTTTCGAGCGCTCCGTAGCATCATTTAGAGCGCTCCTTCGCAGTTTTCAATGCGCTCCTGAGCAGTTTTCATGCGCCCCTCAGCAGCTTTCGAAACGCTCCTTAGCAGCTTCCGAGTCGCTCTTCCGCAACTGTTGGGGCGCTCCTTAGCAGTTTCGAAGGCGCTCCGGAGCATCTTGCAGAGCGTTCCTTAGCAGCTTTTACGGCCCAAGCAGCTTTTCGAGCGCTCCTTAGCAGCTCTTCAGTCTCTCACCGTCGGGCGCCTCACGCTCTCTCTCTCTCTCTCTCTCTCCCTCTCCAGGCTTCCTAGATACGATCGGAGTAGATGGGGTCTGAAGCCAGAACCCCCCCCCCGTGCCGAGGCGCGAGGGGATGGAGCCCCCCGCTGATCCGGCCGCGCTTCTTCGCGCCCGCCGACGCCGCGTCCTGGCGCCGCGCGCTGGGCGAGGAGGGCCTCGCTGCCGCCGCCGTCCGGCGTCCTCGTCGTCGGGGGCGTCGCCGGCGTGGTCGCCCGTTTCCGCCTTCGTCGTTTGGAAGCGCCGTTTCCCCACATGGATCCTCGCATCGTGAGAACAAGCGGGCGGACAGGTGTCGTGTGTGTGTGTGTGTGTGTCACTTCGGCCTTGCCAGGGAGAGGGGCCTTCAAACAAAATGTCAGGATGGGCATCTGAATCCGGGGGAACGGATCAAAACTTCCACTCCTCCTCCTCGTGCTCCTCCTCCTCCTCCTCCTCCTCCTCCTCCTCCTCCTCCTCTTCGTCCTCCTCCTTTTCCCTCTCCTCCTCCTCCGCCTCCTCCTCCTCCTCCTCCTCCATCTCCTCCTCCTCCTCCTCCTCCTCCTCCTCCTCCTCCTCCTCCTCCTCCTCCAGGGGCCCACGTCATGAACAAATCGTGGTGTTGGTGCTCCGGGTATCTTCATGATCGGTAATTGGCCCATCATGACCGGTAATTGTTGTGCGCCACATCCACTGGGCGTTTGCATGCAGTTTGTCGGCTGCAGCGTTGCGGATTCGTACCTTCCTTTGCCGAGGTCGATGGGCAAGGCGAAATCGTTCTCTTCGTCGCCGTCGTTGTAGCAGTCGTCCTTGTCGTCGAAGTTTCCCAAGGGGGCCTCGTTGCCCTCAAAGCCGATGGAGAACTCTCGGGAGCGAGCCGGGATGAGGAAGGAGGAGGAGGGCAGGAGGAAAGGTGGTTGTTGTTGTTGTTGTTGTTGTTGCTGTTGCTGTTGCTGTTGCTGTTGCTGTAACTGTTGCTGTTGTTGTTGCTGCTGCTGTTGTTGTTGTTGCTGTTGTTGTTGGTGGTGGTGGTGGTGGTGTCGTTGTCGTCTTTGTCGTTGTCGTCTTTGTCGTTGTCGTTGTCGTTGTTGTTGTTGTTGCTGATGTGGAGCGATCTGAAGTCAGGTCAAAAAGCTGGCAGATCTCCCCCGCGGAGTCGGAGGGCTCCTCGTCCTCCTCCGCGCTCTCGGGGGGGGCGCCGCGCCCGCCTCGCCGGGGGCCCGAGCGCTCGAGGCAGAGCCGCCTCGACGAGGCCGGAGGCCCCTCGAGCGCCCGCGCCTCCTCGAGGCGCGCCCTGGGCGGGGCAGGGCCTCCTTGCGCCCTCGAGGGCACCCCGGGGGCTGCGACGGGCGGGCACGAGCGGACAGCAGAAATCACGCTCTGCCGGACTGGGGAGGAGGAGGAGGAGGAGGAGGAGGAGGAGGAGGAGGAGGAGGCGGAGGAGGAGGAGGAGGTGGAGGAGGAATGGAGCAATCACAGGAGGAGGAGGTGGAGGAGGAGGAGGAGGAGGAGGAGGAGAACCGGAGAAGGGGGAATGATTGGAGCAGAATGGGAGAAAGGGCAAAATGGAGGAAGCGGAGGAGGGGGAGGAGGAATGAGTGGAGGAGGAGGAGGACGAATACCTGGAGGAGGAAGAGGAGGAGTAGAAGGAGGAGGAGGAGGTGGAGGAGGAGGGAATAATGTAGGAAGATACGCAGGAGGATGTGGAGAGGACGGGGGAATGAGGATTGAATTCAGGAGGTTCGAGTTTTGACGGCCGAGGTTCGAAGACCTAGACGCTATACGGAGGTTCTGGAGCGCGTCCGACCGTGCCGGAGCCTCTGGGGGTTGCGCTCAGGCCCCCAGGGATGTCCTCCAGGGGCCTCGGGATGTCCCTGGACGACGAGCAGGGAGGATGATGAGGAGGAGGAGGAGGAGGAGGAGGAGGAGGAGGAGGGGGGAGGAGGAGGAGGGAGGAGGAGGAGGAGGAGGAGGAGGAGGAGGAGGAGGAGGAGGTGGAGGAGGAGGAAGGAGGGGAGGCAGGAGGAGGAGGAGGAGGAGGAGGAGGAGGAGGAGGAGGAGGAGGAGGAGGAGGAGGAGGAGGAGGAGGAGGAGGAGGAGGAGGAGGAGGAGGAGTTGGTGGAGATGGAGGTAGAGGTGGAGGAGTAGGAGGAGGGCCCTGAGGACTCTGATTGCGCGCAGCTCCGTCGTGGGGGCTCTGGCACGCAGGACGAGCAGACCTAGCGAAGCCGAGCAGAAAGACCAAAAACGGGGCCGATGCCCGAGAAGCCCAGCACACCAGGCCCCCCGATGGAGGCTTAGTTTAAATGGCGTGGATCGATCACCTCCCCCTGGGCCGCCTCCTTGTGTCTCCTGTGTGTAGCCATTTTGGCCCAGACGCCCTGCTATATCGGAGGCGCTGCTGTCCCCCTCCGCTGAAGCGGCGCCGCTTGCGTCACGCTTCTTGCCCTCCTGCTGTCGGCTGGGCGGCGGCGCTAATCACCGGCGCCGCCGCCGTAATCCAGGAGTCCTGGAGGTCCCGGATGGCCTTCAGGTCGCTCACGACCTTCTCGAAGGGGGTGTCCACTGCTTGCGGGGAGAGAAGAGTTTCGCGTGGCGGCGCCGCGCCAGCTCCACCAGCACATTCGTCGCCTTTCGGATTATGTATGTTATTTGTGTGTTTGTTGTTTTTCTCGCTCTTCTTGCTCCACTCGGAGGTGGTGGACAACGCTGTTGGTGTATCGGCTAAGCCATCGAACTCCCGCTCGCCGCTCTGAACGCCCACACCAGAAACCATGAGTTCGTCGTCCTCCGAGCCAACATTGCTTCCCGCCCGTGTCTACCAGATCAAAGCCGCAGAATTCGCTCTCTTCAAACTTGCCGCCAACGCCGCCGTTCCCGAGTGTGTCGCTCAATTTCTGGAGGGGCCGTTGGGATTCAGATTCACCGATGCATCTCCTTCTGCGTGCCCAGCGTCGAGAGCACCACACTCAGCAGGCGACCTCCACCAGACAGCATCATCACCCGCCACCAGATCCGTGACTACGGGCGCTGAGTCCATTGGTTGTGCTTCACAAAAATCGTGTCTAGATCGCTCTAGTTAACGTTGTCCTGGCCCCCCTCCAGTTCCAACGATGTTGCCACCGCCAGCTCCCCAGAGTGCTGTTGGCGCTGCTGTACCCGCACAGGCTCCGGCGCCGGTAAGTTGCACGCGTTGCAAGTCGAGCGAAAGCCGAAGTTCGCGAACTTGCACACGCACTTCCAGATCCTGATCTTCAGGTCGGGCTCCTTGGCCTCAGCTTCGCACTGCTGGGGCACCTCCCCCACCCGACTCGAAGCATTCTCCTTGGTCAGGTCCTTTCTGATTCGATCCTTGGCCTCGAAGAGCTTCCTCGCCAGCGCCCTGCAGAGGCGGATGTCCAGCTTTGAGAGTAGCGATTGATGACCTCCATGCTGGGTTCCGTGCGCGTCGTCAGGCCCGCCTGGTACCCGTGATTGGCCGCCATCTGTCGGAGCCCGATGGCCACGCCGATTCTACCACGTGATCGCGCTGTGATGCTCCAGCACCTCCGTCATCATGCCCTTGGCGAGCTCCTCCTCCTCCTCCTCCTCCTCGCGCATCCTCCTCCTCCTGCTCCTCCTCCTCCTCCTCCTCCTCCTCCTCCTCCTCCTCCTCCTCCTCCCTTCCCCCCCCTCCTCCTCCTCCTCCTCCTCCTCCTCCTCCTCCTCCTCCGAACCTCGGGGTCGTGCGCTGGACCTCCCAGCTGTTCCTCGCCGCAGCAGGCGACCACTTCCACGCCGTCTGCCCAAGAAGCCACGACCGTGATGTCGCGCGCCCGGGGCGCCGCAGGCCTCGTCCGGGAGTCTTCGCAGCCTTCAGTCGGGCACGTCCCTCTACAGGAGGGGTATGCACAAATAGTTTAAACATAGTCTGGGGACGTTTTGTTTGTGTGACTATGTTTGATCATTTGGGTTTATTTGACAAGTTTTTCCGTGCACAATCCGCCTGTAGGGGGACATGCCCGACCCAATCGTAGCCAGCCAACAGATGGAGCCGCATCGCGATTGGGCCGCCGTCGCAGATGCAGTGGCTTGGGCGGCACCGCCCCTTCGAGTCGCGCCCGCCCACCCCCGCGATCGGGACGAAAGGGCTGGGAGGAGGAGGAGGAGGAGGAGGAGGAGGAGGAGGAGGAGGGGCTGAGGTGGAGGGGGAGGAGGTCTGCGCTACCGAAGGGAAGAAGGAGGAGGAGGAGGAGGAGGAGGAGGTGGGAGGAGGAGGGAGGAGGACCAGTGTGCGTAAACCTAAGATGCATTAGCGATGTTGGAATAAACCCTCCCTCCGAGCTCCCTCTTCATATGCCCCTACAAGGGTTCAGTTCCACTGAAGGAGCTGCCTCGTTGGGAAACAACCGTTTGAAATCCCTGAAGCATGCTAAAACACCATCCTCGGGACTCCATCGCCACGGATCAACCTGACTGTTGCGTCTTGGCGATCCTGAATTGTGCCGGAACATAATTCTTGGAACGTCAACACCGCGAATCAACGTATTCGTTACACTTTCACAGTCCCGAACCCGTCCCAAACACCGTTGATGGTACGTTGACCAAGGGAACCCGTGAACGTCTGGCAATTTCTTAAAATGAGAGTGCGCGGCGATCAGGCGGGAGCCACATTTGGAAGACGAGCCACCCTCAACCCGTGAAGAAAGTTTTTTTTGTATATAAAAAACGAACGCGAGCGGCGCTAAGGCAAGATCCACATGTTGAAAATGAACCGCCCTCAATCGGTTAAACTCTTGCACATGTGTTAGTGTGTTAGACGAGTGTGCGCGGTGCTAAGGCGAGAGCCACAGTTTGAAAACCGCCCGCCCTCAATCCGTGAAACTCTTGCAACTGTTGAGACAGAGTGTGCGCGGCGCCAATGCGAGAGCCACATTGTGAAATTCGCCTGCCCTCTATTTGTGAAACTCTTGCCAATGTTCAAGCTTCAGGGTCTTGAATGGTGAGGAAGTCTGAGGCGAAACGCCCGTCCCGCCCCTTCGACCTGCCTCGGGGTGCGACAGGGAGGAGTTATCGATAAGGATAAGGAATGGATAAGGAGGAGGAGGAGGAGGAGGAGGAGGAGGAGGGAGCAGGAGGAGGGGAACGGTGAGGAGGAGGAGGGGGAGCAGGAGGAGGAGAACGGTGAGGAGGAGGAGGAGGAGGAGGAGGAGGAGCAGGAGGAGATGGAGCAGGAGCAGGAGGAGCAGGAGCAGGAGGAGGAGGAGGAGCAGGAGGAGGAGGAGCAGGAGCATGAGCATTAGTAGGAGGAGGAGGAGGAGGAGGCGCAGGAGCAGGAGGAGGAGGAGGTTCTCGTCGAGGTCTCGTGCCTGCCATCCGCGGCGGGGGGTGGGTGCGCCGCGCGTCGGGCGCTGGCGCGGGCCCACCGTGCCGCTGCGCCGACCTCGGCCGGAGGCTGCGGGGGGGCCCACAGAGGTCGAGGCAGGGCAGGCAGGGACTGGGGCGCTTGGATCCCAGGGGACCCCTTCGCGCTGTGGACAGAAATCACGGCGGGAGGCTCTCCGCTGTGTTCGGCCTCCAGGGGCCCTTACAGGGCCTCGGGGCCGTCAAGCATCGATACAGGAGGAACATCCGGTCCCAGAGAAGGGGTCGAGACCTCTGGGGGTCGACGCTGCGACAAAATCACGACGTCGGGGGTCTGGGATTAGCGACGGGTCCCGTTTAGAATGAGCGTTACCCGCCGCCAAATCAAGCGACATCTTCGCAATGTTTCGGGGGTAGGTTCCCCGATCCGTGCCCGAAGAAGTACCAGAAGTTCATCCGCTCCACCGCGACGTCGAACGTTCACGGTTGGGAGCTTGGGATCAGCGTGTCGCGCCGCCGGTTTTGGCCCTCTGCTCTGCTGCGCGACATGCTATTCACGTCCCCGTGCGTCAGCGTCGCGAGCCTCTTCTCTCAGGAGGGAAGAAAACACACAGACACAATGAATCGTCGATTTTCCCGGAAAGTATAGGAAAATATGAGAAGCGGGGGGTAAGGCAAAAAGCCAGAAAATATTGAAACATGAGGGGAATCTAAGTATTTGTGTGTATTTACTCGTGTGTCCTTGGGTCCTTTCGCTCCCATCTCCCGGCCCCGTGGAGCGGAAGGATAAACACAGCGTGCCGCCGGGACCGCCGCCGTGCCCCGCGAAGCAGAAGTCCCTTATTGCCAGATTCCAGCGCCCGACCACACGGGTCAATGGCTGGTCTCCTTCCTCCTCCTCCTCCCCCTTCTCCTCCTCCTCCTCCTCCTCCTCCCCCTCCTCCTCCTCCTCCTCCTCCTCCTCCTCCTCCTCCTCCTCCTCCTCCTCCTCCGGTTCTTAATAGTGCACTGTGGCGTGCGACCGCCCGGATTTCCGCCCCGAGTTTCGGCCACGCTCGCAGGACATGCTCTCTGCGACTGGCGCCCGTGGTCATTGGTGGGTATCATCGGTTGTTAATATTGTGTCGGGCCTGTCCCCCTACAGGAGGATTTTCGACGAAAAATGACAAATACCCCCAAAATAGTACAAACAAGTACTCCAAGAATAGTCTGGGATGCATTGTTTGAGTATGATTTTGCCTTTTGGGAATATTTTGGGGGTATTTGCATGTTTTCGTCGAAAACCTTTCTGTAGGGGGACACGCCCGACATAACGTTAATCCTTCATTACCACAGCTGCGTGAGAAAAAAGGGGTCTCCCTTGAGAGGCGCGCCCCGCCCTCGGCGGAAGGCCGCCGCCGAAGGAGGGAAGGCGGCGGCGCCGCCGACGACGGGTCGGCGGAAGGCTTCGGGAGCAGAAGTGACCCTCCTCCTCCTCCTCCTCCTCCTCCTCCTCCTGTCCTCCTCCTCCTCATGCGCCTCCTCCTCCTCCTGTCCTCCTCCTCCTCCTCCTGTCCTCCTCCTGTCCTCTTCCTCCTCCTTCCTCCTCCTCCTCCTCCTCCGCCTCCTCCTCCTCTTCCTCCTCCTCATCCGCCTCCTCCTCCTCCTCCGCCTCCTCCTCCGCCTCCTCCGCCTCCTCCTCCTCCTTTCTCCGCCTCCTCCTCCTCCCTCCTCCTCCTCCTCCTCCTCCTCCTCCTCCTCCTCCTCCTCCTCCTCCCCCTCCTTCTCCTCCTCCTCCTCCTCCCCCTTCCCCCTCCTGCGCAACGTTTTCGCACGCAGGGTTGCCGGAGGCGCACAGGCGTTCGCCCCCCCCACACCACCGCGTGCAGTCCGTCCTTTGGTGGGCCTCGGGGCAGCTTCTCGTCGCCACCGCTGGACTCCACTCGGCTCTCCGAGCGGAGCCCGCGCAAAGAGAGAGGTCCTGGGGGGCCGATCGCGGTCGCCACGGGCCGCTCCACGGAGGGGCCTCGCCATCGAGGATCGAGAAGCTGTCGTCTCCTCCTCGGCCCGAAGCCAGCGGAAGGGGAGCGAGGGCGGCTCCGTTGGCGGAAGGCCCGTTGGAGTAAAGACAGCTTCCCCGGCGGAAGGAAGGCGAGGGCGGCTCCGTTGGCGGAAGGCTGGTTGGAGTAAAGGCAGCTTCCCCGAAGAGGTGCCGTCGTTTACCCAATCCGACGGGCTGGGGTTGCTAGATTGACCAAGTAACGCTCCAGACCTTCCTCGCACACCCTTCATAGCGTGGCCTCCAAGCCTCAGGTGTGCCAGCGCTGCCTGGGCATCCCAACTCGTGCCTTCGAGGAATGGCGACTGCATCTGGTGACCGCGCAGGCCAAAGTGTGCGGGTGCTCCCTGGGTATCTCGCCTCGCGATCTCGGGTACGGATCGGTCTAAGTAGCATTAGTTTGGATTCCGGATTTCCATAGCGGCCCAGACGTGGATGGTTCCAATACCCCGCTTTGCCAGGCCCCCCTCCCGCCCCGCCCCCCCACGAGAGGAGGGCTACGTGGTCGTCGCCGACGTGCTGCCGGAGGAAGACGTCGAGAAGGTCGTCGCCGTCGTCGTAGTCGTCGTCGAGGTGCTTGCTGTCGCCGTTGTCGGGGTCGTCGTGATCGTCGCCTTGGTCGTCGTCGTCGTGGACGTGATGGTGTGTGGTGCGCGTCGTCGTCGTCGTCGTCGTCGTCGTCGTCGTCGTCGTCATCGTCGTCGTCTTGGTGGCCGTCGTGGTTGTCGCCGACGACGCCTTGCTGGCAGAGCACGTCGATAAGTTACGTATTCGATGGGAGAGGGGGGCAGGAAGGATTGTCCTTCCTCGTCCACCTCCTCCTCCTCCTCCTCCTCCTCCTCCTCCTCCTCCTTCTCCCCTGCCCGTCCTGCTGCCTCCTGCCCCTCCTCCCTGGTATCCCCGAGTGCCCCAGGTCCGGCGTTCCATCGGGCGTCATTTTCTGACAGTCCCCGGGCCCGGCGAGGCCCCCGGATGCCACATAATTCAAGCAGTGGCGAAGCGTCCTGGCGTACCTATAGTCCTACCAAACAATGTTCTAAGAAGCTGTTGTGGTTCCCACGAGCTGTTCTTAGAACATTTCTCGTTGGGACAGTCTTGTTTATTCACATCGGGTTTGTGTTCTAAGAACATGTTTTTGTTATTCGGAGATTTGGGGTTCTAAGAATATGTCGTGGTAGGACTATAGGAATGCCGGGACGGTCGGTCCCTGTTCAAATAATGTTTGCCATATGTTTCGGAGTCTTTTGTCCAGTGCGTCGGAGGTCTGGGCCCTCTCCCTCCTCAACAAGCTTGAAGTCGGGCGTGTCCCTCCACAGAGGGACTCCACAGAGGGAATATCCGCAAATAGTAAAATATAGTATGGGGACGTCTCGACTATCTTCGATTCTGTTTCAGATTGTTTTGGCTGTTTGTCATTTGTCGTCCAAAATCCGCCTGTAGGGGGACACTCCCGACCTAACACTACCTCCATCCCTCCTCCTGGTACCTCCGTTCCCCTCTGGGATGAGAACCGGGGGGCTAAAGGCCGCCCGAGACCCCCCCGCCGTCAGCCCCGGGCCTCCGGCAGCGACGGTCGGGAGTTTTGGCTCAGCGTGTGGAGCCGCGGGTTTGGGCCCACCACGCTTCGGCGCGACACGCTATCCCCTTCCTGGTCTGAAGTCGGGCATGTCCCTCTACAGGAGGAATATTCAAAAATAGTCCAGAAATAGTTGGGGGACCATGTTTCGACTATTTTTGATTATACTTGTTCATTTTGTTGACTATGTTTCATTTCTTGCCTGTAGGAGGGCGTGCCGGACCTAACACTATACACTTTCTGGTCCCCAGGCGTCAGCGTCTCGAGCTTTCCCGCGCTTCCCGCACCGCGGAGCGGGGCGACACGCCATCAGTTCGCAAGGCGTGCAGTCAGGGCGCTGGAAGAAGGACCGCCTTGGGCTCAGGAGGAGCTCGGGTTTCGGGCCCGTTCCTTCGATTTATGTCGTAGAGCATGCTTGTGACCTCGGCCCGCTGTGACCAGAAAGGCCCCGTGGTTCCTTATTCTGCGTTCCCTCTGGCAGCGCGATGGCTGTAGCCTGTCGCCAGGGCTGCGGCCGCGACGCACTGAGCCAAAGTTCCTGACTTCTGGCCGTGGAGGGTCGCGCAGGGTGTCTACGCGATCGTCGGCGCCCGGTGTCGTCTCGAGGAGACGGGCGCGACGATGCCGACGACGGCGGTGGCGGCGACGACGACGACAAGAACGACGACAAGAACGACGACGGGGCCGAGTAGGGAGCCGTGTAGGGGGCCTCTTTGGGGCCTCTTGGCGGGATCCGCTGGAGGCTTGGGGGAGTAAAAAAGGCCTCCTGGGGTCCTCTTGGGCGCCTCCTGTGGCGGCCTCTCGAGGCGGACGGCTCGGATGTTCTGTTCGTGCTTCTTCTCTTGGGCCCCCTTGTGGGGCCGGCTGGGGGCCCTCTTGGGGCCTCTTGGGCCGTCGGGGGGCGCTCTCAGGCCGTCTGGGGGCCTCTTGGAAGCCTCTTGGGCCATTTTGGGGTGGTCTTGGGCCTGGAGGCCTCTTGGGCTGTCTTGGAGCGTCGGAAAGCCGAAAAGGCGAGAACGCCCAAATCCTTCAAACACTCTGGGACCATCAGTGATTTGTGCCTCTTGGAACCATCTTGGGAGGAGGCCTCTTGGGCCATCTCCTTGGCGTCTTCGAGCGATCGTCCGGCGACTCGGGGCCCTCTTGGACCGTCCTTGGGGCCTCCTGGGCCGTCATGGAAGCCTTGGAGAGCTCCACGGAGCCGCCGTGGCCGCCCAGGGACCCCTCGGTAATGGGGGCGATGCAGCCAGGTGGGTGTGGCCAGGGGGGTGGGGGCGTCCCTTAGAAGACTGGAGAAACCCTGTCAGGCCCACAACGCGCCGCAGGCAAAGGGGCGGGTACAGCGTGCCGCCGCATCCCGAGGCGGCACGCGTGGTTGCGCTGGGCCACTGTTCGGGCCATTGGAGTCTCTGCGAGCAGACCTCTTGACTTCCACCTGTCTCGTCAGCGTGCGAACAGCCTCGGCAGGCGGTGTCCACTCGTTCTGCTTTGGTTCCTCGCGCTGCCATGGGAAGCGAACAAGTCGCTCCACAGCTCTTCAGAACGCACGCACGGGTTTCCAGACGGCTCTGGACCGGCGGCGGCGCCCGATACATCCTCTGGACCCACGGGCCCTCAGAGGTTCTCCAGTGATGCCCAGTCAGGGTGATCCTCAGCATGCCTCCTTCTGAGTACAGTGCCGTTTTTTATACATGCTCCGCGTGCGGATCGTGTATAACAAATGCAGGGATTTAGTATTAAAAACAACGATGAGTTCATGCATAAATTTGTTCATGAACTAGTCTTGTATTAAATCATATGTTCAAAAACCGATGTATTAACAACTGCCCTGTAAGCTCCCGGGGGGGCGCCATGGCAGAGCTTCCCAGCTGCGGGGCGCGATCCATTGGAAGCGGCATGCCGAAGCTACGTGCCGCCCCAGCGCCGCCTCGCGCATCTCGACGCGCTGCGCACGCCCCGGCTTGCCGCCTCGGGAGGAGCAGGAGGAGGAGAGGGAGGAGGAGGAGGAGGAGAAGGAAGAGGACGAGGGGGAGGAGGAGGAGAATTGGGAGGAGGAGGAGGAGGAGGAGGAGGAGGAGGAGGAGGAAGGGGAGAGGAGGAGGAAAGAGGAGGAGGAGGAGGAGGAGAGGGGGAGGAGGAGGAGGATGGGGAGGAGGAGGAGAGGAGGAGCAGGAGGAAGGAGGAGGAGGAGGGAGGAGGAGCAGGAGGAGGAGGAGGCGAAGGAGGAGTGAGGAGGAGGATGAGAAGGAGAGGAGGAGCAGGAGGAGGAGGAGGAGGAGGAATCGTCGATGATTTGTGCCTGTGTGTTCCACCGTCGCCGACCGTGCGCACCCGAACGCGCCATTCAGCCCCCTTAGCTGGCGCGCCCTGGCGCGTGGACCGTCGCGCACCGGCCCTGCTGGCGCGCGCGGATCGGCGCGCGCGCGCACCGCGTCGCCCGCCTGGACGCCCTGAGCAGCTGCGCCCCTCTGGGCTTCTCCTCCTCCTCCTCCTCCTCCTTCCTCCCTCTCCTCCTCCCTCCTCCATCTCCCCCCCCCTCCTGCTCCTCCTCCTCCTTTTCCTCCTCCTCCTCCTTCCTGTTCCTCCTCCGCCTCCTCCTCCTCCTCTTCTCCTCCTCCTCCTCCTCTCTCCTCCTCCTTTTCCTCCTCGCCTCCTCCTCCTCCTCCTCCTCCTCCTCCTCTTCCTCTTCCCTCCTCCTCCTCCTCCTCCTCCTCCTCCTCATCATCATCATCATCATCATCCCCGCCTGCGGCCTGTGAGTTTCGGTTCCGTTGTTGGCCCGCTAGGTGTTCGACAGTGGACCCCTTGTTAAGCGCAACTGCAGTCAACCCGCACTGCAAAGATGAGCAATTTTCCAGGGCTGCCCTTGCATCCCTCCCTTTCGGCCTATCCTTAGAAACGTTCGCGGGCAAACCTCGCTCGAGAGTCGTTAACATGGGCCTCCAAGACCCGTGCATCCGAATTGCGCATCCTTATCAGACGGGTTGGTTGTATTCAAATTTCGCGCAGGGGCCCGCTGGAAACCGCCGAAGACCGCCAGAAATCACCAGGAGAGCGCCGAAGACCCCCGAAACCCGCCGAAGGTCCATTGGTAACACGGGGTCCATGGCCGAAAACTTAGGATTCGGCTGGTCTTCGTTTGTGTTGCCCCCGTGCACGTCCATGGAGCTTAGTGAGCCCTAAAGGCATGGCCACCTTCAAATTAACCGTTGCGAAGTGTCGACCCTGAGTTAAAAAAAAACGACAACCAGAAACGGCAACAGAAATGGTTCCGCAATCGGATCCGGAGCCAGAACCGGCAACAAAAGCGGCGACGGAACCGCGAAACAAATGGCGCCGGAACCGGCAACAAAGATTGAACAATTGAACCGGCATTACAACGGCCCTGCCGTTCCCAGAGCCTTTACTAGCCATGGAGCTAGTGGTGGTGGAGCCCCTCGAGATAGGCGAGGGGGCACGTGCGAATCTGCCCGCCCGCGGCGCCGCAGGCGGAGTGTCCAATACGGGGTACGATCCGTGTCTGGGATGTGTCGGATACAGTCGGACCGAGGTATGCTAGGGGAACGAAGAATGACATAACATCATAAACATAAAAACTCGGAGGTCCGCGCGGATTTCTCGGATCCGCGCTGGGGCCTCCTGGCGGCGCCTCCGGCGCCGCCCCTGGCGCGCTCCGCGCGCCAGGGAGGGCGGTCCAACGCGTATCCGAGAAGTCCGCGCGGACCTCCGAGTTTTCATGTATACGTCATTCTTCGTTCCCTTAGTATGAGATCGAGGTCGGTCCGGGGAGTGTACTTCGTGTTTGTTGGATGCTCTTGTGCATCCTGGGAAGGGTACCCTTGGCTGTTCTGTGTGTTTTGGCCGACGGGGGGTCTCATGTTCACGAAGGCTGTTCTTCCGGCCCAGGTCCGACTGCTGTGCGAGAGGAGGGCCGTGCGGCCCTCCCCTGGGGGGGGCCGCAGGTCGAGCTCCCGATCTCAGCGGGCCTCGGAAACGACAGGGCCGTTTTTCGCTGCCGGTTCCAGCTTGCCGTATCTTCTGCCGGTTCTGACGCCGTTTTTGTTTCTGGTTCCGTCGTCGTTTTTCTGCCGTTCTGGTTCCGGTTCGGGTTCCAATTCAGGAGCCGTTCTTTGCCGTTCAAGAGACTTTTGCGGAAACGGTGGAAAATTGCCTTGCTGTAAGAATTCACGAGGCGCTGCACAGATGAGACAGCGAGGACCAAACAACACAGGAGGGTTGGGGACATTAGTCCTGTCGTAACCATGGGGTCGAGCGGCCTAGGTGTCCGTGACTAAAGCAATCTCGAGTCGTCGGGGGTCTAGCCCACGTTCCACCGATCGAAGCCAGACCCCACACATACATCTCTTGGTGAGTCAGGGCCACTTTGGACCGTGTGGTGTCCCCCTCCATCTCACCATGGGGAGTTGCGATTGGGACGGGTCCGCCTAAATCATTTCAGATGGCCTGGAGTTCTCGCGTTTCGCGGTAAATTTTGGTTTCGCCGGTATGCTTCGGTTGTGCGCCAGCATCAAGGTGGCTATGTAGTGCCCTGGCTGATTTTCTGGTCTTCCTTTCCGTTTACCTCGCGCTCCTTTTCTCTTGATCTCCCCTGTTTTTGTTGTCTTTCCCCTGGTTAACCCGTCTTCGTGCTCTATTTAGTCCCCGTCCTCGGTCCTCTCCTCCTGCACGCGTTATTCCTTTTTCATGTCATCCTTCAACTCCTCCTGAACCCCTGCCTCGGTCTACCCTTCCACCATTCAGTCCTGCTCCTCCACTTCCTCACTCCCCTCCTCGTCCTGCACGTCCCTCCGCTTCCACGTCTGGGGTGTCCTCGCCCTTGTCTGCACTGCTTCTGGGGAGCGGTCGGGCTTTGTCAGAGCAGAAGGCGCTCGCGATGCTGCTGGGCGACCTCCAGATGCTCGCCCCAGAGGTACAAAGCCTGGAGGCCCACCCTCGTCGTCGTCGTCGTCGTCGTCGTCGTCGTCGTCGTCGTCGTAGTCGTAGTCGTCGTCCTCGCGGTCGCAGTTTTTCGTCGGAGTCTTCGTGTTTCTTCCCCTCCCTCCCGCCTTCCCTTCTCCCTTCCTCCCTCCTCCCTCTCTCCCTCCTCCCTCCTCCATCCCTCCCTTATTCCTCCCTCCTCCCTCCCTCCCTCCCTCCCTCCCTCCCTCCTTCCTCTCTCCCTCCCTCCCTCCCTATGTTTAGGTTTCGTCTAAAATCCGCCTGTAGGGGGACATGCCCGACCTTACTGTAGTGTTATGTTGCTCCCAACGTACGTAAGGACCACATCCCAGAAATAATGTCGAGCACCCAGGGAAGTATCGACACAGCGTCGAACGAGCATCGCCAGCCAGGGCCCGACACGCGAACAGCCTCCAATTTCGGTACTTTCCTGGTGCTCGAAATTCCTTCAGGTGGTCAAGGCCAGGCTACAGTAGGTTGGAGCATCATCACTGCATCAGGAGGAGAACAAACACACCGACACAATTCATCGTCGACTCCCCAGAAAGATTTGGGAAAATATGGGAAGTGGGGGGGGAAGGCGAAAACCAAGAACATATGGGAACATATGGGGAATCTTCTTATTTGTGTGTGTGTTTATTTGTGTGTCCCAGGGCCCCTTCCCTGCAGTGGTCGAGGCTGTTCCACGGCGGGCCTGGCCTTGGGGTCAGTGCGCGCCAGGGTTTCGGGGGGCCCCGGGCCGTGCTCCCGACCCCGGGGCAGCCTCTTTGGGTGGGTCCGCTCCCTGGGCGACCTTGGCTCCAATCGTCTTGGCATCGCTCGGAAGTGTGTATTTTTCCTTCGGCGAGGGCCAGCAAGGAGCATCCTTGATCATTTGGCGAAAAGACCACGCACGAAACCGAACAAAAAACAGGGAATGGACGTCCGAGCGATGCCCAGTCGTCTGGATCGTCCTGGGGCCTCTCGAGTTGTGCACTTGGTATCGCTCGGGCGTGTGCACTTCTTCTCGGCGGGGATCCTTGAGGAGCATCCTGGATCATCTTGCGAAAAGCCCACGCACGAAGCCGAAAGAAGCACATGGGAATGGACGTCCGAGCGATGGCCAGTGCACGCACGCGCGAGCCAGGCCGGAGGCGGAGCGCTTCTTTCTATCTTCCCTCCCTCCTCGTCTTCCGCCCCCTTCCGCTCCTCGTCGCTAACTTCGCCGTCCTCCTCCGTCGTCGTCTCCGCGTCGCTCCTCGTCCTCCCTCCGAGCCCCTCGGTCCTCCTCGTCATCCGCTGTGGTGTGTCCGTCCCCTCGGCGGCAACATCTCGGCGGCGCGCCCGAGGGGGGAAGGCGGGCCTTCTCGGAAGGCTCACCGGGCGCTCGGCCTACTCCTCCTCCTCGTCGTCCTCTTCGAATTCCTCCTCCTACTCCTTCTCCTCCTTCGAATTCTCCTCCTTCTCCCCTCCTCTTCGAATTCCTCCTCCTCCTCCTCCTCCTCCTCCTCCTCCTCCTCCTCCCAAAGAAAGGCCGGCGCCGAAGCAGCTCTGTCGTCCTGGGCCGGACGGCGCCCCTCGCCCGCAGTGGCCCGGCCCTGGAGCGACCTTGTGAGCTCGTCGCGGGGAGCTCGCGGAGGCGCTGGCGAGTCGGATTCAATGTGATCACAAAAATCACGACGTCGGGGCTCTGGGCTTCCGACTTCCCTCCCCCCCGGGCGCGCCGCCGAGATGTGCCGAGGATCCGGTGTGGCCTGATGCTTCCTGTTGGTGCTGTACGGCGTGCGTCCCGAGGCGGCAGATCCGCTCCGACTGCGACTCCTTGCCGATGCAGTCCGATCCGATGCGACTGCTCGGTTCGGTGCCAACGGATCCTGCCGGTGCGCCCGCAATCCCTTGTTGCACCGGGCGGGGCCAGGCATGGCAGGGCCGTTTCACTTGCCGTCGCCTTGCCGTTGACCTCCGCCACCTCCTTCCGTCCTCGACCCCCCATCGACACTCGATCCCCCTCGATCCTCCTCGATCCTCGATCCTCCTCGATCCCCCTCCAGCCTCGATGCTCCAGGGCTGGAGCCAAACGGAGTCTGCGCGATGTCCTGGGCTGTCTCCAGGGGCGCAACGGAGGCCGCACGAGGGAAGAGACGAGCACAGAACGAGCCCGAAAACGCACTCCTCGGCCCGAGCCCTGCAGAAAACAGAGCTCCGACGCCCCGCCCCCCCCCCCCCCCCTGGGCACCGGGCCCAGGAGGTCCGCGAGCACCACCTGCCGCCCGCCATGGGCCTCAACGACCTCCGGGCCGCGCGCCCCTCCCCCCCGCGGCCGCGGGGCGGGGGCGAAGACCCGGCGGCAGCAGCGCACGGGAGCCTCGGCACGGCAGGCCTGCGTGCGGCGAGGGCGCGCCGGCGACGCCGGCGGAGGCGTGCCAGTCTTCGGAGCGGAAGAGGCTCGGGGGTGGACAGACCTCCTACCCTGACACGTCGATTCAGGAATGGGTCGTTTTTCGGGTCGCGAGAGGGCGTCGCGGCCGTCGTTTTTGCGGATCCAGGTCCGTCGGTGTCGGTCCCAGGCCGTTTTTTTACTAAGGGGAGGTTTGCTAAAGGGAGGTTTGTCCACCGACGAGAGACGGGGGCGACTGCAGACGGGTGTCAGTCGGAGCGCCAGATCTTGCAGGATCCTGCAGGGCCATGGTCGCGCACCGACCCGGGCTCGGGTGCAGGGGCCTGCAGGGGTCCTGCATGATCTTGCAGGGTCCTGCAGAGCCCGGTTGACCCGGGCTTGCATTGGCCCGGGTCAGTAGAGCCCCGAGTTCCAGGTTGAATTCCGCATGGTCGAACGACGTGGAAGCACGGGCGGACACGAGAGAACGCCACTGGACCCGACTGAGCTCAACCTTGAACGAAGAGGGCCGCGATCGTTTCAAGGTTGAACGATCGACGTGGTGTCAAAAACCTTTGTGCGCGCCGACACCGCACGAACCTACCGTATACCTTCGCAATTCCGTATCCAGAGTGCTCTAGCGTCGATTAGCGTCGAATTTGCGTCGACCAGCATCGACCAGCGTCGATTTGCAATAGCCAGCAAGATGGTATGGGAGCCTCGCAGGAGTTGCCACAGAAGACGGCGGCGGCGACGCCCCCCTCGTGAAGGGAGAGGGCGATGAAACCAGACAGCTCCCAAACTGTGATCTGCGCAGCTGTCTCTCCGCTCGGCTCCAGGACGTGCGCAGGGCCTCCCAGACTGGACTCGAGCCTCGGAGGTGACATGGCTCGCCCAACCACTTCACGCCACCGGTACATGTGCACACCTGCAGCTACTGACGCAGCGCTCACCGAGCGTGTTCCACTGCTCGCAAGGTGCCTGCTCGCAAACGCCCGAAAAAACACATGCCTGATTCGATGCCATTTCTCGCATCTCCCCCCCCAGCGGATCCCGGGCAGGCGGGGCGGGCGCTGCAGGGTCGGCGGGAGGCACCCTCGCAGTGGGGGAAACGAGGGAAACGAAAGAGGACAGGAACATGAAAACTCGGAGGCCCGCGCGGATGTCTCGGACCGGCGGAGCGCGCCAGCGGCGGCGCCAGAGGCGGCGCCAAGGGGGTGCAGCGCGGATGCGAGAAGTCCGCGCGGACCTCCGAGTTTTTTTGATGTTCATGTTGTTTCTCGTTCCCCTTGAAGCGGGTCCTGACGAGGGAGGAGGGAGGGAGGTGGGAGAAGGAGGGGAGAAGAGAGGGAGGAGGGAGGAGGGAGGAGGGAGGAGCAGGAGGAGGAGGAGGAGGAGGAGGAGGAGGAGGAGGAGGCGGAGATCACAGGGAAGGGCCGCGGGGAGGGGCACGTTTTTGCCGTCGCAGCGTGGCAGAGGCGATCCGCACGCGCGCTGCAGTGGGCCGGTGCTCGGCCACGCACCGTACTGCCCGGCGGCAGGCAGGAGCGGGGAAGAGGCGCGGGAGAGCGGCCGCGCAGGGCGCGGGAGAGAGAGGGAGGGTGCTCACTGCACGGAGACCTCCGTCCTCCGTCCGGAGGGCAGCGGGCCCTGAGGTTCCCCTGCCGTTCTTCGGGGCTTCCCCCGGGGCCCTCCACGGGGCCCAGGGCCCGTTTCCCTCGGGACCCGCGGCCCCCACGCTCTGCTCCCCGGAGGGGGGCCGCCCCGAGGCCCCTGTCACCGGCGAGGGGCGGCGCGAGGAGGCGGGGGGGCGGGGGCCGGGCGCGCGGAGGGGGCGGGCGCGCGGAGCGAGGAGCCCCAGCTCCCACCCCCCCTAGAAGTCGCGCCGCGGTGGGGTAGGGCTCGCAGGTGGCCTCCTCTGGGAGGGAGGGCGGGAGAGCGCCGGCGCGGTGGGAGAGAGCGACGGCGTCGGAGCCCAAGAGACGGGGGTCAATGCAGACGGGGGTCAGCCAGGGCACCGGATCCTGCAGGATCCTGCGAAGACCCCCTCTGGCTCACCCGGGTGAGCGAGCCGCTCGTGGCCGCGAGGCGGCCGCGCCTATTGGCTCACCCGGGTTTGCGAAGTCCTGCGTTGCAATGTTTTCTCCTGCATTGCAGTTTTTAGTTTCCTGCCGATCCGGGTCCGGATTGACCTGGGTCAAAAGATCCCAGACGGCGGCCTCCCGCGTCGCCCGAAGAGCTGCAGCTTGCGGAGGTGTCTGTTGGCAGCCTCCCGGCCTCTGAGAGGGGGGCCCTCGCCGGGTCCAGATGGTTCTACACATTTCGTCCAGAGCCCACACTGAGGGGCAACGATAGGGGGGGATACGCATCAGGGGGGGATGCATCGACCCCCACTCGCCCACTGATCGCCGATAAGGGGCCCGACGGCCCCAACCTGCACAGAAAGACGCGGTTTCCCTATCGGGGGCTTACCGCCGACCTATCGGCGATGCATCGCGAAATGCAAGGCGCGGTGCGCCCACGTTGCTGCGGCATGCGCCCAGCGCACGCACCCGTTAATCAAATGGTACCATGCGGGCCGCACGCGCGCGACGCCGCACGCGCCTGGCAAAATTCGTCCAAACCCCGCGGGTTCCAAATCATTTTAAAGCAGAACTATTCAACGACACACGAATCACTCCAAATCCCGCATTAATCGACCCCCCCCAAAAAACCAGACCCCCCTCCAAATGCGACCTAAAATTCCGGACCCCCTCTGCGACGGGGCGCTTTGATAAACCGGACCCCGTAAGCTCCAATCCAAAGAAAGCGCATTAATAAACCGGACCCCCCCAGTTACAAAAAAGGCGCTTAAAGAACCGGACCCAGGGGACGATATATAAGGGATTTGGAGTACCAAGTGGTCTCCCACAAAAATGTCGCTAGGTCCGTCACATCGCGTCGTCGTCGTCAACAATCGCCGCCGTTGCCGCCGTCATCACTCAAGCACCTTCATCACCGACACATGCACAGTGTCATCGTCATCGTTGTTCGAAGCATCGGCACCGCCATTGGCCTCCGCAGTCGCTACTATCATTGGTATCGCGACTGCCCGAGCCACCATCCCACACTGAAGTGCCCGCGTGCCAGCGCGGCCATTGAGACGCGCTGGTAAGTAGCCACCAGTAAGCGCCATCGCGGCCATTGCCGTCATCATCACTCAAGCACCTTCATCATCGACACGTGGCCATCATTATTATCGGCGTTACCAGCATCGGCGCCGTCACTGGCCCTGCCGTCGTCATCGTCATCATCGCCACCACCTTCGCCGCCATCGTCATAGTGTCCGCCGTTGCTGGTGTGATGATGAGACCGTGCCCGCCAGAGATCTGACCCGTGTTGAAGCGGTCGCGCGCCAGCGCGGCCTTTGACGCGCGCTGGGGCGGTGCCACTGGTAAGCGCCACTGCGGACACATCGGCCGTGCCAAACCAGCTGGTCGCTCTGCGCGCTAGCTTGCGCGCGCTAGCGCGTCCGCAGAGATGCGCCACCTGGTGCCGAGGAGTCTTCGCAATCGCGGCCGCATGGGGTGTGCAAAATATGTTGCGGGTGGGAGTATGAGATGTTTGCGTGAGCAGTGGAGTTGACAGTTTTTGAATAAGCAACAGTTGATTCTTTTTTCTAACAGAGATTGGGATCTCCCCCCCGGGGCAAACGGTCATGATTTCGTATTGCACTTTGCAAATGATTTTCCCCCATCGCCCATCCTACATATGACTTCGTATCATCCCAGCGGTCTCGACCCCCCCCCCTCACCCATGTCAAATAATACTATGCGCGCGAAGTCGTTCATCACAAATCAGCAGTTTTCAATAATCCCTCCCAAACAATGGGACGACGTGCGCATGCGCGCGTCGTCTCGCGCGCATGCCATGTGTGTTGAAGAAACCATGGGTTTTGCAAGCATTTCAAAATCGACGGTCCCAAAAAGCATGTACAAACAATATCTTCGCAACAAGGATGTTCAAACAAATTCCCCCAGAGAATTCCCAGAGAACCATCGGTGTTTCAACTTTTTCATAAAATGCTACCAAATGGGTTTCGCGCGCGCATGTCGAAATTGTTCGATTTTTTTTCCGCGCGTGCTGTCGCAGTCATCCTTTGCAAAAAGACGAAGTGAACAGGCGCGCGTAGTCGCGCCCGCATGCGGGAGTCATTCAAAAACCCTAGGTTTCGCCAGGAGTTCAAAACCGAGCGTCCCGAGGCCATCTACATATATATATATATATGTATATATATATATATATGCATGCAACAACAGATTGCAAAACAAGCCTGCGCTCGCGCTCTTGCGAACCCTTCAGAAAACCGTTCGTTGTCTTCAACATGTTCATGGCATTTTGCCAAACGGGCCTCTCGGCGTGATCATCGGCGCCGTCACTGGCAGTGTCGGGCAGTGCCGTCGTTCTAATCAACCTCGTCACCCGCATCGCTACTATCCTCATCGTGTCTACCGCTGTCGACGTTGCCATGATACCGCGCCCGCCCAAGTCGCCGACTCGCATTGAAGTGCCTGGTTTGATGTGCCCAGCGGTCAGTGCCGCCGCGGCGCGTCGGTCGCGCCAAACTAGCTGGCCGCTGCGCGCACGTGCATGCGCGGGCTAGCGCGGCCGCAAAGATGCACCAGCCAACACCAAACACTCATCGCAATCGCGTCCGCATGGGTTTTGTAGTCCAAGTTGCGGGTGGGTGAAATAATTGCGCGAGCAGGGGAGTGGACATCTTCGAATTGAGCATTGGATGTTACCCCATTGGTTGCACTCGCACAGACATGCACCCCATATTTAGCACCCAAGATGTTGCATGCCATACGACGCATCCGATCGATTGCACCCGAGAAGTTGCGCTGGCAATGCGCCTTTGAGCTGCACAGAATTATTATTTTGGGACCAGCCGCCAGTATCATCTGAAGTTTTTGGAACTCGAGCTGCCAGGAATTATGAGGCTAAGCGCCCAGCCCACCCGACCAACACGTCTGGAGGTGTGGCGGAAGTTCCGACTGTGATTGAAACGCCGTGCTTGCGACCCGTCGGCTGCAGTGCGGGCGCGGCGACATGAATGGCGTCTGTCCCAAACCCCGCGGAGGAGGAGGGCGAGGAAGGGGAGCGGAGGATGAGGAAGAGGAGGAGGAATAGGAGGATGAGGAGGAAGAGGAGCGGGGGGGCTTATGAGGAAGAGGAGCGGAGCAGGAGAAGGAGGAGGGGGAGGAGGAGGAGCAGGATGAGGAGGAGGACGAGTAGTGCCAGATGAAAGGGCGGGGGTGATGAGAGGAGGCGGAGGGGAAGGGGGGTGGGGAACATGAGAATAATGAACACGAGGGGAGAAGGAGGATGAGGAGGAGGATAAGGAGAGAGGAGAGGAGGAGGAGGAGGAGGAGGAGCAAGAGGCTCCTGTTCTTCAAGAGGACCACGAGGGGCGGAACTTCATGGAGCGGGTGGCAGGATGGGAGAGGGCAAGGGGATATAATCAGGAGGGGGGTCGAGGGGTGGCGCGAGATGCTGCCAAGGGGCATGCCGGAGTCGAGCGCGTGCCTGGTGCGCGTTTGGCCCCCGTCGGCCCCGCACCGCTCGGGCCCCCCCCCCCTTCGTGCGCTCGGGCCCTCCACCCCGCGCCGCCACGGGCCCGCCGGGGCGCGAGAGGGATGAGGAGGAGGAGGAGGAGGAGGAGGAGGAGGAGGAGGAGGAGGAGGAGGAGGAGGAGGAGGAGGGAGGGCAGCACGAGAAGAGCACAGGACGAGGATGAGGAGGAATGGGAGCCCAGACCCCCTCGAGGCAGGGGCAAAATCGCGACGGGAGGTTTTTCGCTACTTTCGGCCTCAGAGTGCCTGCACCGGGCCTCGGGACCGTCAAAAACGGCTCAGGATGAAAAGCCGGTCCCGGCGGATAGGTGCAGACCTCCGGGGGTCGTGTCGTGAACAATTCATGACGTCGGAGGTCTGTGAGGAGGGCATTCCCTATCCCTCGGGTATGAGCGGTGAGCAAGGACGGCGAGGAGGGAGGCACGGTGAAGGGGGCGGAGAAGGAGGAGGACGACGACGATCAGGAGCACGAGGAGGAGGAGGAGGAGGAGGAGGAGGAGGAGGAGGAAGAGGAGGAGGAGGAGGAGGAGGAAGCACTGTGAAGAGGGACGAGGGGTAGGACAAGGACGACGATGATGCCGATGCCTGCGAGGAGGGCGATGGCGAGGGTGACGACTACGCCGCCGCAGACCACATGCCGACACCGACGACGACGCCGCCGATGCCGACGCGCACCCAGAAGCCGACGCCGAGCACGACGACAGCGAGGGCGAGAGCGTCGACGACGAGGACGGCGGCCTGCGACCGACGGCGCGGCTGAGGGCGACGACGACGACGACGAGGAGCAGCAGTCGAAGCATCAACAACGGCATAAACACATAACTTTCGGAGCTCCGTGCGGACTTCTGGGCACTGCGCTGGGCCGCTCCCTGGCGCGCGGAGCGAGCCGGGGAGCGGGGCCCAGCGCAGATCCAAGAGATCCGCGCGGCCCGTCGAGAGCGTATGCTTAGCGAAGTTCTGCGCGACCCGACCGCCCCTGAGTGGCCTCCGCCCCTCTCCCCCCCCCTGCGGCCGCCCGTTGTGTCCCGTTGTTGTTCCGCTCCTGCATGCTGGCCGACTGGCTGCAGCGCTGCCCCCGTGGAGGTGGTTCCACCCGCCAGCGCAGACGACCCCTGCCTTAGGTTCGCGTCGTGTCGACCCTCGGCGACCCCGCCGCGGGCGTTCCAGGTTGAACGCCGCTAGTGGCCCAGAATCGACAACCACGGAACGATCGGGCGATCGAAACGCCGCGGATCGTTCAATGTCGAACGATCCACGCGGTGCGGGACAAACCAGAGCCTGGGGTCGTCACGACACGACCCTGCCGCAGCCGCCGACGACGAGTTGCCTGCGCCGTTTTTCGTTGCTCCTCCCCGCGGCGGCGGTGCGGCGAGGCCGCCGGAGGGCTGTGCCACGGCGGCTTCGCCTGGTTCCTGCGCGGCCCTCGGCGGGCGGGAGGCGCGCGCGGCCGCGCCCTCGGAGCGGGCGCTCGGCGCGGGTCGCCGGGCCGCGGCGCCGCTTCCGGGGCAAAATGTCGGCGCCCCGGGGGCGCGGCCCCGTGGGGGCGGAGCCCCGATCGCCCTGGCATCACCGAGCGTGGCAGGGGGCACCCGGCCCCGCCCAGAGGCGTGCGGCGTCGCTAGCGAGGGCCAGTTTTGGAGGAGGAGGAGGAGGAGGAGGAGGAGGAGGAGGAGGAGGAGGAGGAGGAGGGACGAGAAGAGAAGAGGAGAGAGGAGAGAAGAGAACATAAGAACAGAAAAGGGAAGGAAAGGGAACGGAAGAGAAGGGAAGATACGAGCAGACCAGAGCAGAGAAAGACAAAGCGTCAGGAGCAGGAGGAGCAGGAGGAGGAGGAGGAGGAGGAGGAGGTTTGGGAGGTTTGGGAGGAGGAGGAGGAGGAGGAGGAGGAGGAGGAGGGGGGGCAGGAGGAGGAGGAGGAGGAGGGAGGAGGAGGGGAGGAGGAGGAGGAGGAGGAGGAGGAGGAAGGAGGGGGAGGAGGAGAGGAGGGGAGGAGGAGGAGGAGGAGGAGGAAGAGGAGGAGGAGCAGGAGGAGGAGGAGGAGGAGAGGAGGAGGAGAGGAGGAGGAGGAGGAGGAGGGGCGTGGGGGAGGAGGAGGAGGAGGAGGAGGAGGAGGAGGAGGAGGAGGAGGAGGAGGAGGAGGAGGAGGAGGAGGAGGAGGAGGAGGAGGAGGGGGAGGGGGAGGAGAAGGAGGAGCAGGAGGCGCAGGAGGAGCAGGAGGAGGAGCAGGAGGAGGAGGCGCAGTTGGAGGAGCAGGAGTAGGAGCAGGAGGAAGAGCAGGAGGAGAAAATGGTGAGGAGGAGTTGGTCGAGGAGGAGGTGCAGGGATCATATCATTTTTCCCTCTCGCTCTCTCCGCACCCCGTGCGCTCTGATCCCTTGACACCCCCCCCCCCCCCGTGCCCCTTCCCTTCCGTTCTGTACCCTGCGGCCGCCTCCTCCTCATGCTCGTGCTACTGCTCCTCCTGCGGGTGTCCCTGGTCGTCCTGTTCCTGCCCCACTCGGGACGGGGAGAACCGGGAGATCGGGGAGGAGTAGGGCGGAGGAGGAGGAGGAGGAGGAGGAGGAGGAGGAGGAGGAAAAGGAACAGTAGGAATGAGGCGGTTGGGGAGGCCTCTTTCCTCCCTCTTCCTCTCCTCCTCTCGGCATTTGCCTGCCTATTTCCCCTTGTAGCCTTCTACCGGTAACCACCGATGACCCCTGGAGCGGTGCTCCAGGGGTCGCGGTGCTCCAGGGGTCACCTGGCTCTAGTTTGATCAAACCGCTCAGGGTCGACCGGCCCTTGCGTGGGAGGCTACGTTTGCCGAACCTTGCAGCCATGAGGAATTAGGAATCAGGAAAAGGAAAAGGAGCAGATGGATGTGGAGAAGCGCAGGAGGAGGAAGAGGAGGGGGAAAAGGACGAGGAGAAGGAGGAGAAGGAGGAGGAGAAGGAGGAGAAGGTGGAGAGGAGAGGAGGAGAGGAGGAGGAGGAGGAGGAGGGGGAGCAGACGAAGGAGAAGGAGGAGAAGGAGGAGGTGGAGGAGGTGGAGGAGAGGAAGGATAATAGTAATAACAATAACAAGAGGAGTAGGAGGAGGAGGAGGAACAGAAGGAGGTGTCGGAGGAGGAGGAGAAGTAGGAGGAAAGGGAAAAGGATGGAGGAGGAGGAGGATGAGGTGTAGGAGGAGGTGTAGGATGTGATGCTGATATGATGTGATGGATGATGATGAGGAGAAGGATGGAGGAGGAGGAGGAGGAGGGAGGAGCAGGAGAAGGGGAAGAGGAGGACGAGGAGAGAGGAAGAGGAGGAGGAGGAGGAGGAGGAGGACGAGGCGAGTATGAGGAGGAGGAGGAAGAGAAGGAGGAGGAGAAGAGGAGGAGCAGAGGAGGAGGAGGAGGAGGAGGAGGAGGAGGAGGAGGAGGAAGAGAATGATGAGGAGGTGGAGGAGCAGGCGTGGAGGAGGAGGAGGAGCTGCAGGAGGTGGAGGAGCCGCGCCCGCGCCGCGTCCCGGCCGAGGCGCTGCCATCCGCGGGTGGCCGACTTCTTCCAGAGGCTCTCGGGGGGCGGTCGAAGCCGCGGCGGGGGGTCGTTGTCATGCTCCCCTCTTGGGGTGCTCGGGTTGCGGGGGGACGCTTGCAGCAGAGGAGGAAGAGGTGCATACCCACACACCTGACCCCCGCCCGTTTTTCCATTTCTGGGCCTCCTGGGAGGCCCCCGTCGCCACCGCTGGATTCGCTTCGAAATCCCGGTCGGAGCGCACCCCGGGAGAGGTCCGGGGAGTGGCGGTATCGGTACTTCTTGGTTTCCCCAATACCCGGGGGGGGGGGGACCGAGTGGTCAGGCTTCGGGCTGCGCAGAGGCAGCCCCCCTAGGTAGTCTAGGCTGGCCGCAACAGGCTCCCCCGAACAGTCCCGGGGCGCGGACAAGCCCCTGGACTAGTCGTGAAGCCTGTTGAGGCCAGCGCGCGCTGCATCCCGAGGCCTTGCCAGGATCGAGGATGGCAGGAACAGGGCCCTCCGGAGGGCCCCCTCGGCTGCCACCGCGGGCCCACAGGGAACTGGAGAGGCGCACGGTGCTTCACCTCCCGTTTGTAGTTCTCCCCCTCGTTGGCGAGCGCCCGACGGTCGCCGCGAAGGGAGCAGGTCATGAGGTCCACCGGCCCCGATGTGAGTTCTCAAGTTTTCGGGCCCGTGGCCTCGTCCAGAAGCGGCTCATGACGGAGAGCTGGCCCCAGGGAAGAGCCTCGGGATCCAGAAGCCGTGTCCCTCGTGTCGGTGCTCCTCTCCCGTGCGTCCATCCCCGTCCTCCTCGTCAGGTCAGGGCGGCTCGGCGCCTGGCCTTTACAGTGCCGTGTTTAATACATGCTCCGCGTGCGGATCATGTTTTTAAACATACAGGGATTGAGCATCAAAAACAACGATGAGTTCATGCATACATGTATTCATGAATTACTCATTATTAAAGATCATATAGTGCTAAACATCCGATGTAATAAAAACTGGCCTGTAGTGTGCCTGCGCCGCTTGGGTGCAGCGCTCGGCCCCTCGAGGGCCTCGACACGGAACGTTCCAGCAGGGCGTTCCCTATCCAGGCCGTAAGTCGGGCGTGTCCCTCTACGAAGGGATCTTCGACGAAAAATGAAAACTACCCCCAAAATACCCCACAGAGGTCAACACATACTCAAAAAATAGTCCCCAGACTATGTTTTGATTATTTGTTTGATTATTTGTTTTTTTTTCGTCGAGAATCCCCCTGTAGGGGGACAGGCCCGACTTAACCCAGGCCCCGAACCGCTGCGACTCTGTGTCTCACCGAGCGCGTTCCAATAGTCGCAGCGTGCCGACTTGCAAGCGTCCGGCAAATACATGCCCACCTCGATGTAATGGATCGTAATGGTTCGATGTAATGGATCCAGGCCGTGTGCGAGTATTTGCATGGCGAGCCTTATGATGTTCCAACCTACTTTAGCGTTGACCACCAGAAAGAACTCTGAGCACCAAGGAAGTACTGAACCTAGAGGGCTTTCACGTGTGGGGCCCTGGGAGGCGATACTCGTTCGACACCGTTTCGATACTCTTACTGGGTGCTCGAAATTATTTCTGGGGTGTGGTCCCGAAGTGCGGTAGGAGCAGCATAAGGGGAGTCGTGAAACGCGCTTGTCTGTCGTCGCAGCATGGCCCCCCCGAGGCCTCGGCTCATCCCCGGGGGGCTGGAGCCTCTCGTCGTGAAGACCGCGAGCGATCAACAGCCGCCGATGGCGATCTCTGTCCACGCCACCAGGGGGGCCTGGGCCCCCGAATCTCGACCCTCGACCCGCAGCCCTCGAAGAAGCTCGATCCTCGACCCTCGACGCTCGAGCCTCGATGGTCGAGCCTCGACCTTCGAGGTTCGAGGATCGAGGGTCGAGGATCGAGGGTCGAGGGTTGAGTCTCGAGGGTCGAGGGGTCGACGGTCGAGGATCGAGCTTCGAGGGCCGAGGGTCGGGGCTCGAGCGAGCGGGCCTGGCCTATGGCACCGAGCGCGCGAGCGGGCCCGGCCCGAGCCGGCCACTCCGGCTCGGCAGCACATCAGGGGAGCCTGATGAACAGTCGGGGTGTTGACCTACGGAGCCCCACAGAAGGAACGAGGCCCCTTGCCCCAAAAGTTAACACCTTCGATCTCCCATGGAAAACCTCAGGAACACCTGAGGCAAGCTGTTGCACAATCAAGGACCACCGAGCCCCTCCCCAACGAAAAGGGTTCCTTCTTCAGCGCCCCGACTGTACTCGCTCGAGTCCGCCTCCATCGCCGCTTAGCGTCGCTTAGCGCCTGGGAGTCCAGGAGATGGCGCCGAATCAGCTTTTTGTCTCGGCGAGAACCATCGAGGAGCATCCTGGACCATCGAGCAATAAAAACACACGCACGAAACCGAAAAATGCACGGGAAATGGACGTCCGAGCGACGGCAAGCGTCAGGGGAGCCGGATGTGCCCGCTCAAGTCCGCCTCTAGCGCCGCTTGGCGTCGATTAGCGTCTGGGAGTCCAGGAGACGGCGCCGAATCAGCGTCGATGAGCGCCGATTCAGCGTGGATTCCGCCTCTAGCGCCGCTTGGCGTCGATTAGCCTCTGGGAGTCGAGGAGACGGCGCCGAATCAGCGTCGCTGAGCGTCGATTCGCCGCTTAGCGTCGATTCGCGTCTGGGGGTCGAGGAGACGGTTCCGAATCAGCGTCGATGAGCGTCATCGACTGGCGTCGATTAGCGTCGACTAGCGCCGATTCAGCGTCGATTCAGCGTCGACTCGCAAGAGCCGACAAGATGGTATGGGAGGCTGCCGTGAGTTGCCACCGAGAGGGGGCCCGGCCCCTCCCCCGGGCCACTTCTGCGGCGCCGGCGCCCCTGGCAGGGGTGGCACAGGCGGCAGGCGTCCGTCTCGTCCTCGTCCGGCTGTCCGCCCTCGGCTCTCGCTCCCTGGCGCTTGGCGCCGTGCACGTGCTGGCCGAGCGTGCACGGGGCTCAGGAGAAGCTGTGCTCGAGCTTCGGGTGGGCACAGTCTACGTCACAGCTGTCCTTTATTGCAAACATGTTGGAAATGATGTTTGACTTAGTTTCTCGAACATTGCACAATTCGTTTTGGTAGTGAACTGTTGTTTCGAATTCGCAATTTAACACGCATTCATTTAACTGTAACTTGAAAACCCGATTGCAGCATTTTTGTAAAAAATGATTAATCAGGTTTCTCAAGACATGTCGTCGGTGGTAGGCCTCCCAGATGTTGTCGGAGCAGATGGGGTCGAAGGATCGCGCCGCATCGCCGATGTTCTCCGCGCCGATGCATCGCCGATACGTCGCCGACGCGTCGCGGGTGCATCGCCCGTGCATCGCCGATACATCGGCGACGCAGTGGCGATGCGGCGCGATCCTCCGACCCCCCCTACTCGGACCGCATCCAGGAGGCCTCTACAACGGTGATCTTCGGGCTTCGCCATCCGCGTGATTCTTCTGGCAGCGCGGGCGGGGTGCTGCTTCGGCCTCATCCGTTCGCCTGCTGCTGCTGCTGCTGCTGCTGGTGCTCAGCACCTGCCCCCCCTCGCTTCCTCCGCCCTCGGCCAGGCTTCTCGCAGCGCCAGCCCAGGGCAGGCTGGTTCTCTTGGGCTCTTGAGCGGTCTCCTCCTGATGGGCCGATTTTCCACCACCACTACCATAGGTAGGAGAGGGAGGAGGATGAGGAGGAGGAGGAGGAGGAGGAGGAGGAAGAGGAGGAGGACTTCCCCATCCCCTCTTCTCCCCCGTCCTACGTAGTGGTGATGGAAAACTGACCCATCATCCTCCAACAGCCGCACCTCGTTTTATCCCCTGACCTGTTCGTGACCCCCCCGTTTGGCAGTCGCACTCACCCTGCCCTTCAGAGGTAGGGTTAAGTCGGGCGTGTCTCTCTACAGGAGGAACGTTCAAAAATAGTCCAACAATTTTATGGGGACGATTTTCTAATATTGTTTGACCATGTTTGTCGTTTGTTTGATTATTTTCCCATGTTCGAAGCACATCCGCCTGTGAGGGGACATGCCCGACCTTCCGGTAGGGGGGAGGTCCTGCGGCCTATGTGCCCGAGGAGTCTTCCCCTCCCCGCCCTTGCCCTCCTGGAGCCTCCCCGTGGTCGCCATCCCGGGGCCCCGCAGATCCGCAGCGTGCCGGGCACAGCCAGCAGGACAGGTCGAAGCGTGGAGCCTCGGTCGTCTGGCGGCCGCGCATGTGCCATGAGGCGTGCCGGCGGTGCATCGTGAAGTCCCCGCTCACGGGGCCCATGTAACCATTTCTCGTCCTCCCATTCCCAGCCGGAGGGGGGACGCGATGAGTAGGAGTACGACGAGCAGGACGTTGAGGAGGCAGGGATTGAGGAGGAGGAGAAGGAGGAGGAGGGGGAGGGGGAGGAGGCGGAGAAGGAGGACGGAGGAGGACGGACAAGAGTGAGGAGCAGGATGGGTACAGATGGAGAGGAGGAGGAGGAGGAGGAGGAGGAGGAGGAGGAGGAGGAGGAGGAGGAGGAGGAAGAGCAGAGAGCGGAGGACGGCAGTCCCGGGGCGCTAACGCACCGTTTCTCCGAGCTGCATCCAACTGGCAACGAGGGGGCCCCGAAGGCCAACTACCGTTGCGTCAGTTGGCCCTTTCCGTTTTTCATTCACCGCGCAGCAACCCGTCCCCAGCAGGGCTGCCAGGGCCCACTCCCGCGCGGCACCCCGCCAGCCTCGACTTGGGGGGGCCGCCGGGGGGAGACACGAGAGTGACAAATGTTTGCTCCCAAGCAGCGCCCAGCGCACTGTGGGGCTGCCCGGGGTCCCCGCCCCGCCCGCGCGGCACCCCTCCGGTCTTTATGCTGGGGAGGCTGCTGGGTGGACCCCTCCCTCGGCCGGGGGCTCAAGGCCGGGCGCCCCCCGCGTCAGCGTCGGGCGCCAGCCGGAAAGCCCTCAGCCGTGGGGAGGGTGCGCAGGCTGGGTGTCGTTGGACGGCCCGGCCGCGCGCGCGGCCTCGACAAATTGGGTTGCGTCAAGCCGAGCGGGAGGAAGGAAGGATGTGAAGGTGGGTATGGAGAAGGACCACTTGGCATCGCTCGGACGTGTACATTTTGTCTCGGCGAGAACCATCGAGGACCATCCTGGACCATCGAGCAACAAAAACACACGCACGAAACCGAAAAATGCACTGGAAATGGACGTCCGAGCGACGGCAAGACCAGGAGGAGCTGGAGGTAAACGAGCACACACACACAGTAGGCACATCAAAGAAGAGATCGGTACGCTAGCAGGTGCCCCACGGAAATCCCGATGGCCCCATTGACTCACAGAGGAGATGCGGCACCGTAGGGCCTTTGTATCGCTAAGACTGTGTTCCGAGATTCCTTGTGCACGGTGTCTTACCGTATGTGCATAATGTATGGTAAATATCCCGAGCACGTTTTCAATACAGATTCTTGACAATGTTGATATTCCGTGTAGAGGGGATCCCCGTACGCACCCGCAGTTGAAAACAATGCGTATTTGCGATGTCTACTTTGACGGAGGAGGAGGAAGAGCAGAGGGGGCGGCCAACATCGAGTGGGAGAGGGTGCGAATGCGGAGCCGGGGGGGGGGACAGAACGTGAGGAGTGGGCGTCATCGGGAAACCATTGTTGAGAACTCCCCCAGAACAAGACACCGATGATGAGGTGGGGTTTCAAGAGAGGCAGTTGCAGGACGATGAGCGGGAACAGGGCGGCGCTGGCGACAGCGACGACGAAGATGACGACAGCGGAGGGGGGCACCGACGATAGTGACGGCTGCGGCGGTGACGACGCCGACGGCGTTAGCGATGGCGACGGTGACGATGGCAAGGACCGAATTCACCAGGGGCTCTTCGGGCTGTCACCGCGGCGACGACTGCGACGTCGGCCACGACGGCTTCGGCAGTGACGAGCAAACCCGCCAGACCTGGATGTGCTTCGGGCTGCCGCGGCGACGATGGCAACGGCTACGACGGCGACGGCGGTTCCCCCCCGAGGCTGCTGAGGCTTCCACGGCGGCGACGGTGGCGATGGCGACGGCATGCTGCCACGGCGGTGTCGGTGGCGATGGCCGACGGCTTCAGCCAGGACGAGGGCCAGGACGACGACGACGACGACCCTCGGAGTCCTTAGCATACTACTAGAATTCTTGGGAGCTTCGAAAACGGTTGAACACATCAGAAACCAATGGAAAACAACGGACACCCAACATAAAGCTGCAACTGTTTCCGCACAGGCCCCTGGAAGCCCGGATCTTGTCCCCAGTGCGGACTTTTCATCCTGAGCAGTTTCTGCCACGGTCATGTGGGCCAGCGAGGGCCCCCAGATGTCGAAAACGGAGAAACATGTTTTCCGTGCCCGCTCAATACGTTGGAGGTCGTGGGATTTCTCGCAATCGCCCACACTTGCACCCAAGGGCTTGTCGACTTTTCTCCTATCGACTGGCGGGGAGCAGGCCAGATAAATCGAGGTAGACAGAGATAAACCGAGGTACACCTAGATGACCTGGTGTAAATCCACAGATCCTCAGGGAAGTCTTGAGGAAATTGTGGACCCTCCAGCGCGAGGCGAAGGACAGCAGAAATCGTTATCAACAAACCAGTCCACGGCGGCGGCCGAGACCCCTGGGAGGCTCTTCGGGCTGCCCGCCGGCACGCCGCTCACGGGGTCAGTGGACGTGGTGGCCCTCGCGCCCCTGGGGAGCGCCGCGAGCCAGGACCCTGCCGCTCGCGATCTGCGGTGTGAGGGCGAGCGGAGATGGAGGGGAGGAAGGAGAAGGAGCAGCAGCAGGAGGAGGAGCAGGAGCAGGAGAGGGGGGAGGGATGACCGCACGCACACTTCAGCAGATAGATCACTCCTCATTCGCGCCCTTCCTCGGTCAAGCCACTTTCGGATTGGCGCAGGTGCAGGTCCTTATCACCTCCATCTCCCTCGAGCAGGTAAGCGCAGACTCTATCCCCTTTGCGGGCTGTCGTCCAGCTGCTTTCTGCTGCACTCACCTAGGTTTACTGTGGTTGCCTTCGCGCCTGAGTCTGAATAGTTGCCTCTCTTCTTGGTCGCATGGACGCAATAGCTGTACAGCTCAAATCCGTTCCGTTTACAAACGAAGAGGATGGGGGCAATTCATCCGCTGCGCGGGGGCAGCGCCACCTCCAGTTGGAGCCCTCGGTGCGGGCACTGGTTGGGGGGAGCCGCTCCGAAGTCTCACGCCTCGTGTCCCCAGGCGCGTTCCACTACTCGCAAGATGCGTGCTCGCAAACGGTCCTAAAAACAAGCGTCTGATTCGACGTAACGGATCGCAATCCCCCTCGGCGGATCCAGGCCATCTGCGCGTAGTTACCTTGCGAGTAGTGGAGCGCGCTTGTTTACTGTGAGCTCGCCGCGATGCCAGGACGAGCCCCGCCCCCCCCCCCCCCCTCCTCCCTCCCTCGGAGTCGCTCTGCGGTGCACCGCCGCGGGGTAGAGCATGAGGCGCTTGGAGAGTGGGGGGTTGTTGGCTGGGTGGAGGGCAGGCAGGGGGCAGGCACAGAATGGCGAGGCGGAGGGCCAGTTGAAGGGGGGCGCATAGGAGGGGCATGGCGAGGAGGAGGGGGCGGGGGGGGGGAGATAGAGAGAGGAGGAGGAGGAGGAGCAGGAGGAAATGGGGGAGGAGGACGAGGAGGAGGAGGACGAGGAGGGTGGAGGACGAGGAGGAGGAGGAACGGAATGAGGAGGAGAAGGGAGCGGGATGAGGAAGGAAAGGGATGCGAGGGGGGTGGCGTAGAGGAGGAACGGGATGAGGAGGAGAAGGGAAGCGAGAAGCAGGTGGAGGATGATCCGTTCTGAGCTCTCATGACCGCGCAGCCTTGCTCCACCTCCTGGAGTTCCATCCCCTCCCCCTACAGAACGTCAGCGTACTGTCGTGCCCGCAGCAAGGCCGCCCGATAACAGGAAATAATATCATGTCTGTGACAGGGGGAGGGGGCGGAGAGGTTGAGAGTTGCCTCCGCCGAGTCACAGCGATGCTACCGGTAGGTGTATTGCTCTTGGGCGGGGCTGCTCCCACATCATCGCAGAGTCCCAGGGAGGAAAGGGAGGAGTTGGAAGAGGAGGAGGAGGAGGAGGAGGAGGAGGAGAAGAAGGATAACGAGGAGGTGGAGGAGGAGGAGAGAGAGAAGGAAAGGGAGGATGATGAGACGGAAAGGAAGGACGAGGATGAAGAGGAGGAGGAAGAGGAGAACGACGCCAACGACGAGGGAGACGAGGACGGGGAGAGAGACGAGGGGCAGGCTGTGGAGGGAGGGGGGAGTTGCGAAACGAGGAGAAGCAGGGTGAAGAGGACAAGATGGGGAGGAGCAGGACGACGAGGAGGACCATCCGTCATGAGGAGAAGGAGGGTGAAGGGAAGAGGCTGACTCGGATGATGATGATGATGCTGATGATGATGATGATGATGATGATGATGATGATGAGATGATGATGATGATGATGATGATGATGATGATGATGATGATGATGATGATGATGATGATGATGATGATGATGATGATGATGATGATGCTGCTGATGCTGATGATGATGATGATGCTGATGCTGATGCTGATGCTGATGCTGATGCTGAGCTGATGCTGATGCTGATGCTGATGCTGATGATTGCTAATGAGGATGAGGATGAGGATGAGGATGATGAGATGAGGGGAGGAGGAGGAGGAGGAGGGTTAGGAGGAGGAGGAGGAGAGGAGGATGTTGATGATGCTGCTGATGCTGTGCTGATGCTGAAGATGCTGATGATGATGATGATGATATGATGATGATGATGATGAGGAGGAGGAGGAGGAGGAGGAGGAGGAGGAGGAGGAGGTGGAGCCTGTGGAAGAGGAGGAGGTGGAGAAGAGGATGGAGGACGGAGGCGGCAGCAGCAGGGTGACGAGGAGGAGGAGGAGGAGGAGGAGGAGGAGGGGGAGGAGGAGGAGGAGGAGGAGGAGGAGGAGGAGGTGGAGGGAGCAAGATTGCGCAGGCCCCCTTCGGGGGGGCCTCCGGGGCTTCCAGGGGCCCGCGCAGGGCCAGGAGCGCTTCACTGAATGGACTCTCGACCCTCCCAGAAGGGCCCGGATCCCTTCGCGCCGGGGGAGTCGCGACAGACTGTTCTTGACCGTTTTCGGTTTCTGGGGGCCCTCGCCGGGCCACGGGGCCGTCTACAACTACTCGGGATGAAGTGCCGGCCCTGGGGAAGTGGTCGGAGATCTCTGGGTGGCGACGTCGTGAGCAAACTCACGACATCGGGGGTCTGTCGACGAGGAGGAGGACGACGAGAAGAATCATGATAATGAGGAGGAGGAGGAGGAGAAGGAGGAGGAGGAGGAGGAACGGGAGGAGGAGGAGGAGGAAGAGGAGGAGGAGGAGGGGGAGGAGGAGGAGGACGACGTCGAAGACCACCCGACGCAAAAATCTGCCACTGGAGCTATCCTGAGTCACGCTCTGGCCAGGACTTCGAGGCGGACCCAGCTGGCGCGGCCATGAGTGGGACCACGCGAGGTCCGTAACAAAAAACGGCACCCGAACTCCGAGCATCAAACAACGACGACAATCTGAGGCCCGAGGGCAGTCCGCAAGAGTATGGCTACCTGCAGCTCTTCCTGGGCGTTCAGGGAGGGAGGGCGGTGGCTGAGATCGCTGGCTCGAAATTGGCGATGCATGCACGGCCAGAACTCCCCTGGGGCCCCGGACCCCCGACGTCATGATTTTTCATGACGCGGCCCCCAGAGGTCCAGACCCACTTCCCGGGACCCGTTTTTCATCCCCGGGTCGGCTTGTTGACGGCCCCGAGGCCCGGTAATTGAGGGGCCCCCACAGGCCGAGAGTGGGGAAAACCCCCCCGTCGTGATTTCTCCGATTTTTGTTCGCAAGGTCGTGATTTTTCATGGAAGGACCTCCCCCGGAGGTCGTGATTTTCTGATGACTCGAGGGGGGGCCAGGGCGCCCCCGGCGGAACTCGCGGCGTGCGGCGTGCGCTCCCGGCGGGGCCTCGCACCCCGGGCGCGCTCGAGCTCCGCCGCCTCCTTGGCGCAGAGGCCGAGCCGGAGCAGGGCGCTGGGCCGGAGAGGCGGAACGGGGGCGGCCCCGCGTGGCCTGGCCTTCCAGAGAGCTAAAAAATAGCCCTCCAGACCTATAGACCTATCTGGGCTGCCTAAAACCTCGACAGGAATTAAGATATCGAGGTCCTGGTGCGATTTTTTTCCCCTCCTGGAAGGTCAGGGTGGCGGGGGGGGTTGCAGAGCGAAGCCGGGCATTTGTCAAGTCGGGCCTGTACCTCCACAGGAGGAAACTTCAAACATAGCAGCAAAAATAGTCTGGAGGCCATGTTTCGACTATTCTCGGATAGTTTTTTGAGTCTATTTTTTTGGGGGGGCAATTTTTCATACTTCGTCCAAAATCCGCCTGTAGGGGGACATGCCCGACCTAAGGCATGTGTTCCTCTAAAGGAGGGATGTTCAAAAATAGGCCAGAGCTAGTCTGGGGACGATGTTTCCACCATTCTTTCTGGCCATGTTTGAATATTTGTTTGGGGGTGTTTGTTTTTTATTGTTCGTCCACCCGCCCGCAGGAGGGCATGCCCGACCTCAGGCTACAGGAGCGGTGCAGATGAGAAGTCCGTGTTGGTGGGGTTTCCGGGCTTCTGCTGTGGCTCGGGCCAGCGTGCCACCCAAGAGTCGCGTCGCCTTCATTCGGGCAGGATGCGCCCAGGCCATCGCCGTGGGCCTGTCGATCTGAGGGGTGGGGGTCAGCTCGAGGGAGCACGCAAAAGGCGATTAGGGTTAGAGATAGGAGATAGGGCGGTCAGGTAGGAGATCGGAGATTAGGGATAGGAGATAGGAGATAGGAGATAGGAGATAGGAGGGGGCTCACGTTGTATGGGGGGGAGCAGGTCAGGTCTTAGTTCGGGGGCGCGCAGGTGAGTGGCTCAGATTAGGGCTCGGGGGGGGGGGCGCGCAGGTTAGGGCTTCGGTTTCGGGGCACGTGAGATATGGCGGTGGCTTAGCGTAGGGTGGGTGCACGCAACATGGGGTGGTTTATGAGTGCTTAGGCCAGGTGCGAGCGGACGACGAGTAGGGCTAGGCCTGGGGGTAGGGTTGCCAGGACAGAATGCGGGGGCCCTGGCACTGGGCGCGCGCCCGTCGCAGGGCAAGCAGTGGCTCCACCTGGACTACTCGCCGCCGCAGGGCACGATGTGGCAGGCGCGCGCGCGCGGGGCGGCCGCGGGCGCGCTCGCTCCAAGCAGAGAGAACATCCGCAGGCGACTCGTGTGCACCGTGCCGCCACGGGAGGCACCGCTTCAGACTACAACATTGTCATGGCATCGCTCGGACGTGTGCATTCTTTCTTCGGCGAGGATCATCGAGGAGCATCCTCGATCATTTGGCGAAAAAGCCACAAACGAAACCAACAAAAAGCACAGGGAATGGACGTCCGAGCGACGGCAAGGACGGCAACTGGGGCCTGCTCTCGCGCTGCATCCTGGGCCGCCGTCGTGGATCCTCGCCCTGGGTGTGGTGCGGTGCACAGCTCTGCTCGGCCCTCAGGGTCGAAAAACGCTGTGCACCCTAGGGCCCCAAGAGGTCCGGGCGCGCTGCGGTGCAGGGGCGCCGCTCCAGTGGAGCAGCGTCTTTTTTTCAGTTGGGGGGTCGCGCGGGTGGCTCGGGTCTGCGCTGGGCGCCGCCCCTGGCGCGCTCCGCGTGCCAGGGGCGGGGGCCCGGCGCCGCGCCAAGACAGCCGCGCGGAGCGCCGAGAGGGCATGCCGACGGCATTGCTTCCTGCTGGGGGGCTCGCGGCTCGGCGCCCGCCCACCGACGGCGTCGCGGGGCGAGCCCGAGGGGCTCGGTCAGCACCAGCGCCGTCGCCCGCGCGTTCGCGGACCGGGTGCAGCAGCCTGACGCACATTTGGGGCTCAAGAGACGGGGGTCGATGCAAACAGAGGTCAGCCAGAGCTGCGGATCTTGCACGATCCTGCCAGGCCAGGGCTGCATGGACCCAGGCTAGCGCGCAGGATCCTGCAGAATCCTGGAGGACCTTGCAGGATCCTGCAAAGCCTGACTGGCCCGGGTTTGCATGGACCGAGGCCAGAAGATCCCCGACACATCACTTCGAGTTCCTCCCTCCCTCCCGGCCTCATCCCTCCCAGTCTCCTCCCTCCCCCCTGACTGCATAGGTCGGCTGCGCTAAAAGGCAGTTCACTGTACTGTCCAGCTGGCACTGTCGGCCTGCTTTTCTCGCGCCCCGCGGCAGCCCGGGCCGCGCAAGCGAGCCGCGAAGCGAGGCGCACTCTCAGGCCGGCTCCCGAGGATCCCAGCGCTCCCCCCCTCCTCCTCCTCCTCCTCCTCCTCCTCTTCTTCCTCTCCTCCCTCCTCCTCCTCTCTCCTTCTCCTCCTCCTCCTCCTCCTCCTCCTCCTCCTCCTCCTTCTCATTGCTATTATGCGAGTAGCGCTCCGGCCTCTGCTGACAGACACCGTGCTCAAAATCAGCGTCGACAGGCCTCACTCTACGTAGGGGGCATCAGCCGCGTCCGCATGTGTTTCGCGCGGCCAGCCCCAAAACGGTGTCAACGGCTCGGTCGATTCGGCTGCGTCGCAGGTTGCTGCGTTCGGTGAGACCGCTTCGGTCGGCTGTCGTGTCGTTGGTGCGTCTCTGCGCGCCCTTCTCGGCTGCTTGCGGCTTGGCGGTTTCGGTAGGTATCCGTTTCGCCGTCGTCTCTGCCTGATTTCGAGTGTGTTGTCGTTGTGCACGGCCTGGGTTCGAAATTCGAGGTTCTTTGGGCGTGTTTGTTGTCTCTCCTGGGCCGATTCGTAGTCACGGTTTGATCCGCTTCGAACCCCTGGCCAGCGCGCAATCGTTCGAGGTTCGAGGTTCGAGGTTCGAGAGTTTCGGGTTCGAGGTTTCTTGTGTGTGTGTGTGTGTTTGTGTGTTTTATCTCCTCTGGGCCTCCTCGTGACAACGTCCGGGTCCACCTCGAAATTCAGGTCAGGGTGGGGGAGAGACGGGCATCGTCGTCCCAGTCGTCCGAGTCATTGTCCGCATCGATCTTGTCCTCGTCATCTTTCTGCTGCCCCGAGGGGCAGACGGACTATGCTGAAGAGAGGGGGATGAGGACGGATGGCGGAGGGAAATGAGAAGGAGTTGAAGGAGAAGGAGGAGGGATAGAGAGGGGAAGGATGAGGAGGAGGAAGGGGAGGCGAAGGAGGAGAAGGAGGAGGGAGAAGAAGGGTGATAAGGAGGAGGAGTAAGACGTCCATGCAATGGGGTCTTCCTTCGTCGCTCCCTCCATCCCTCCCTTCTTCCTCCCCCATCGCCCCAGGGACCCCGCGAGGCTCAGGAAAGGAGCGGAGAAGACCTAACGCATTGAAGCACGTTCCAAAACCATGTCACGATCCTCCTCCTCCTCCTCCTCCTCCTCCTCCTCCTCCTCCTCCTCCTCCTCCTCTTCCTCCTGTCAGATACAGACGTTGCTGCTCTCCGCGTGGAACTGGGCACTCTCATGGAGGGATGGGGGGACTTCAGAATTGCGAGCTTCATGAAATACTTGGGCGTCAAGCTCGGCCCGGGCGCAACGAACGACATGCAGTGGGCGGAGGCGGCAGGCAAGTACCACATGCGCTTGTGTCTACTCCGGGACTGCCCGGCGCCAAACGAGGTGATAGTGCGCGACTACAACTCGGCGGCGCTGCCCGTGCTGAGCTACCTCATGCAGTTCTTCGTTATAGACCCGAAGCTATATTTCAGCGAACTTGATGGTTTACATCGCGTCCTGCGCTGCCCTCCCAAGGCGTTCACCAGAAACGACCTGCTCAGCATGCGGCGCTGGGTGTCCATGACGTCCTTCACGTCGATGCTCGCCCTGTCCTTCGCTACGATGTGGCGCGCAGCGGCGGTCACCATGACAGAGTGGCCGAGATGGCTGGAGAGCTTGCGCGAGCATGCGCTTGAGGAGGGTTTGGCGACACGGGTGGTGCAGGGGCTGTGGTCTGCTCCGTTTTGGAAAGAAGAGCGCGCCATGGTCCAGACGTTCGATGACCACCTCTCGGCGCGCCCTCACGCTCGACTTCGTCGTAACGGCGTTCGCGCGGCAGCCAGTCTCAACAAGGCCCGGAGGGAGATCGAGCAGCACGCGAGGCGTTCCCAGGGACGCGACAGCGTCCCCGTCCAGAAGGCGATCTACCAGTCCTTGGCCCAGGAGCTTCATGACGACTCCTTCCACGTCACCATCGGGAAGAGATTGGAGAAATGGCTGGCTGAAGATGGCGAGGTGGTGCCCGGAGACCTCCAGGAAAGGTGGCATCGTCTCCGCGCCACCCTCGCTACCCTGAAGCCTGGGGTGTGCTGGGCGGTGGTGAAAACCCTGGCTGGAGCATGGCCGACAAGCCACCGAATGCACGTGTTAGATGAGCGCCTGACGTGCAGGTTCGGCTGCCAGGCCGAGGACGACATATGCCATTACCTACGATGCCCGCGCGCTTGGCATTTAGTCTCCCTCCCGAGATGGATCCCTTCCGCACGACTGCTTGTCCGACTCGGCCTCGGGCTTCCGGAGGACCAGATCGAGGATGATGAGCTTCAGCGGGCGGCAGTGCGCATAGCTTTGATGTACCACCTGTACAACATCATCCGTCACGAAATCGCAGACAACACCTACGACTACAACATGCACACCAGTGCCCTGAGTGCTGCCCGGCAGCGCGTCTAGGCCTGGAGTCGCCTCCCTGGGCTTCGTGTCCTCCTCCTCTTCCTCCCCTCAAGTCAAAAGTTGACCCTTTGGAGCCTTCCTGGCGGCACGGTATGGCCCGAACATGTCGAGGTGAACCAGGCCTAAAAGCATGCAAACTACGCATCAAAACGTCAGGCCCTCCTCCTCCTCCTTCTTCTCCTCCTCCCTCCTCCTCCTCCTCCTCCTCCTCCTCCTCCTCCTCCTCCTCCTCCTCCTCCTCCTCCTCCTCCTCCTCCTCCCTTCTCCTGCCTTCCTCCTGCCTTCCTCCTGCCTTCCCCCTCCTCCTCCTTCTCCTCGTCCTCCTCCTCTTCTCCTCCTCCTCCTCCTCCTTCTCCTCCTCCTCCTCCCCCTCCTCCTCCCCCCTCCGGCCTCCCCCCCCCTCCTGCTCTTCTCTTACCTCCAGCCCACCCTCAGCCTCACTCCTCTCCCCCCCCTCCTCGCCGCGGGCCCCCTCCCCCCCCATGGCAGGCCTGCCTGCAGCTGTTTCCCAAAGCGCCCAGCACAGGACGGGGCGGCCGTGGATGGGGGCGCCTGCTCCTCCTCCTCTTCCTCCTCGTCCTCCTCTTCCTGCCCCTCCGCCTCCTCTTCCTTCTCACGATCTTGCTCCACCGACGCCTGCCTCAGCCTCGCCCGCACCACCATCATGCAAGCTCACTGTGGATGACAAGCGGAACGCAGTCACCGCTAAAGTTTGTACAAGCGACGCCCACCACGGGTCCAACTTTTCTGAGTGCATCACCACCTCCGCGAGCTACCACGCCAGCCTGGGCAGAGCAAGTATCATTCGGAAGCGCTATTGTGTGGCTGATGTCGACCTAAAGTTCTGCGAAGCATATGACATCATCGAAGCATGCAGACCCTCTCATGGGGATGTGGTGAGGGCTCGTTTTCGTGGACCCGATTGCTGGGGACGCTCGGGGTGAAATTCGCACCCAGCCGACCCCAGCAACACTTAGTGACGTCGCGCGGCACGCAATCGGCCCCAACCGACCACCGCAAACCAATGAGTTTTTCAGTTATGTATGCAGAAAAAACACCCCGAACCATCAACATATGACCACCCACACAGGCGCGAATCGGGCGACTTAAACATACTTCGCCTGGAATTCCTGCGTGCCTCTACGATACATCGCATGGAAATCATGTGATCCTGTGTGACTATAACACAAAATGCGTCGGAAATCCTGTGTGCTTGTAACATAAAGCGCGCGTGCATCCTGTGAACATGTGTGCTTGTAACATGAAAATCGTGGAACTCCTTGTGTGTTTACAACATAAATCGCATGGAATACATCTGAAGGTAAAGCACCACACGTGGGTAATCCCCTGCCTATAACATAACCCGCGTGGGAATTTCTGTGTGCGGGTAATATAGTCCGCGTTGAAACCCTACGTGTGCATAACGTAGTCAGCTTGGAAATCATGTGTGATAGAAGCTTGGACATCTCTGGTGCGCTTGATATTCCTGCGTGTGTTTAGTGCAACTCGCGTTGAAACCCTGGCTGTTGCGGTTACCATTGCACGCGTTGAAACCGTGAAGAATTGTGTGCTGCCAACAACTACGGCCAAACCTCAGCGGGACATAGATTGCACAACACGCGATTTGTATATTATCCAGATGGCACTATCGCACGATTCTCACCGATGTTTCATACTTAGGACGGTTTTCGGTTCGCTGTCGCCTTACCCCATGCCTCTTCGGACGGTCAACCCAGGTCAACCCACCCCACTAGCACCCCACAGGGCGGCGGCTACTAAGTTTTCAGATGGGCCTGTCGCCGATTTGCCGCCTCGTCGCCACAGCTGGATTCGGCTCGACTCGGCGTCTGGGTCAGAGCGCGCGCGTGGCGTTCGGCTCGGGCGCTCGGCCCGGGCGGGCCGCCGCTGGCCCCCCCCCTGGCGGCTCGCCGCGCGCGCTGGCGCGATGCCGCGATGGCAGCCGCGCCAGCAGCGGCGGCGCTAGCGCGTGCGTTGCTGGACCACAGCGTCTTGCGGCACGACGCGTCCGCCGACGAACCGCGCGTGGTGCTGACCACCGCGGCCGCTGTGAGGTCTGTGGCGACGTGGGTGGCGCGCGACGTGCAGGCGCCGCGCGTCATCCGATAATGGAGAGGCGGACGAGGATGAGGCAGAGGAGGAGTAGGAGGCAGAGCATGACGAGGACGAAGAGGGAGCGGAGGACCAGGCTGGGGAGGGTGGGGAGGGACTAGACCCACCTCTCCACCTCACTCTCCTCCTCCTCAGCCTGCTAGCCTGTTCTTCCTGCTCCTTCGCGTGTAGCTTAGCTTCCTCCTCCTCCCTCCTCCACTTCCAGGTCAGATGGTCGCCTCCACCTCCTCCCAACCACACCTCTCTGCGGCGCAGGTGCAGAGGGGGAGGAGGGTGGATGGGGGACAGGGATTAGGATGAAGAATGGCACAGCTGTCCTCGGTCCTCGTCCCCCTCCTCGCCCTCCCCTTCCTGCTTTCCTGCTCCCCCTCATCTTGCATCCTCCTTCTACTCCTTATCCACCTCATCCTCCTCCTCCTCTTCGTTCTCCTCTTCCCTCCCTCTCCTCCTCCACATCTCCACCTCCCCCCCTCCATCCTTTTCATTCGCACTATTCGCACTCGCGTCTCATCGAGTCGCCCCTTCCGCCCTCTTGGACTCCTCGACCTCCGCCTCCTCCTCCACCTCCACCCCCTCGCCCTCGTCCTCGACCTCCTCCTCCTCCTCCTCCTCAACCTCCGCCCTGTTCCTCCTCTCTTCCTCTTCCTCCTCCTCCTCCTCATCCTCCTCCTCCCCTCCACCTCCTCCTCCTCCTCCTCCTCCTCCTGCTCCTCCTCCTCCCGTTCCCCTCTCTGCGGCCCAGGCGCATCGCGGACTCCCTTGGACCCCTGATCATAGCGCGCCATTCACCGTCGCCGACGTGTGCCACGTATTGAGGGACCACTTCGGCCTCGACGTCACCTCGTGCGTCGGCGTCGTCGAGCAGGCAGTGAGGCTCAAACTGGCGGCGATCGGCAGCAGGCACCAGCGCGTGCAGGCTAAGCACGTTAAGAAGAGGAGGGGGATGAGGCACGAGGGGCAATGAGGGATGATGCGGAGGAGAGGAGGAGAGGAGGGTGAGGATAGGATACGAGGAGGAAGAGGAGGAGGAGGAGGAGGAGGAGGAGGAGGAGGAGGAGGAGGCAGCCGGAGGCATGGAGGAGGAGAGGAATGAGGAGAGGCGGAGGATGGCCTGATGGCCTCTGGGGGCTCGGGTGGCTCGCCCCAGGACCCCAGGACTCCAGGACTCCAGGGGGCCGGGCCAGGGGCCCAGGGGCCCAGGGGCCTCTCGAGATCTCAAGATCTCTCTAGCTCTCACGTTCGCTTCCCCCGCCCGCGCCCCCCCCTCCCCTCCCCCCCTCCATTCCCTGACCCAGCCCTGCTCAAATACCCGCCCCAGGCGCAGCCGCAGCCGCGGCCCCCGCTGCCCATTGCGGGAGAGGGGCCCGCGGTGGCTGCGCCGCCAGCTGCGCCGCCGCCTGCGGCGGACGCGCCGGCGCCGCCGGCGCCTGCAGTGGGGGCGGGGCGCGCGTTGGTCAGGGTGGCGCTGGCTCGGCAGAGGCAAGGCGGACGTCGGCCCGAGCCAGCTCTCGCGAGGTCCGAGCGGAAGCGGCACGCCAGGTTGGACGGGATCCAATTCGTCGTTCGCACCCCGATGAAGCAGCGCGCAGATCAATGGGCCTTGGCGGCCACGATGGTCCGCGCGCTGCTTCGTCGGGATCTGAGCGACTGGTGGATCTCGCCCTGAGGGAGACCGCCAAGAAGGACAAGGAGATCGACCGCCTGAATCGGCAGCTGGAGTGGTGGAAAAACAAGTACGAGTACTTGAAGGCGCGGCGCGCAGAACGGGGGGCGCGCGATGAGGGGGGGATGGGGGGTGGGGGCTTTCACGTACTGGTGATCTGGTGATCCTGGTTAGGACTCGGTTCGGATTCGGGCACTTCGGGCACTTCTGGGCTTCTGGGCTCCTGGGGGCGGCGTGGACGCGTGCTACGTTTGGGGCGCGTAGGGCCGCAGAAGGTTAGAAAGTTTGGAACGCCTGAACGCCCCCCCCTCCTCCTCACACGCCCCCCCCCCCTTCTGCGCGCCGACGAGGTCAGCCGCAAGAAGGACCCCAAGAGGAGGTGTTTGACGCCCAGGGGCATGTTCCAGCTCGGCTGGAAGCAGGCGCTAGGGTACGGCGGAACCATGTCGACAGTCGCGATTCTGGAGCTGCCGATCTCGCGATGGTGTGTGACGAGGCCCCTCATGCCCTCATGCCCCCCCCCCCCCTTCGAACCACCCCCCCCTCCTGCTCAGCTCTGCTCCTCTTATCCTATCCTCTTATCCTCCTCCTACTCTCTTACTCTCCTCTTCTACTCTCCCACTCCTGTTCACAGTTCTCCTCCTCCCCCTCCTCCTCCTCTCCCTCCTCTCCCTCCTCTCCTCCTCCTCCTCCTCCTCCTCCTCCTCCCCCCTCCTCTTCCTCCTCCCCCTCCTCCTCTGCTCCCCCTCTCCTCTCCTCCTCCGAGGCCTCCTCCAGCTCCTGCCCCCCCCCCTCCTCCTCCTCCTTCACCTCCTCGACTCCTCCAGCTCTGCTCGAATCATCCTGCTTTATTCTGCTCCTCCTCCTCCCTCCTCCCCCCTCCTCCTACCCCCCCTCCTTCTCCTACTCCGACTCCCTCCGCCTTCTCGCCTCCTCCTCCTCCTCCTCCTCCTCTGATCCTTTGGTCCTCCTTCTTCGCCTCTCCTTCTCCGGCTCCCCCCCCTCTTACTCTTCCTCACCCCCCCTCTTCATGTTCCTCTTCTCCTCCTCTCCTCCTTCTTACCCCAATTCCTCACCTTCGCCGCCTCCACCTCCTCTTCACCTCTTCACCCTGAGGAATCCAGGAATCCTTACAGCACGCTCCCTCTAGTCCGCCACTCCCAAAACTGACCCTCTGAACCCCTGAACCCTCACGTCTTGTAGTGCA